GAAAGAATCAATGTGATATTTTAGGGGACAAACATTTGCATTTATAAAAAATGAATAACTCACAATTTTTTTTAAAGCATTTAATTATTTTGACTTAAAAAACAAAAACATAAGGATTATATAATTGAAAGATGCCTTTGTGTTTAAATTTAGTAAATATTGTTTTTAATTGAGAGGCATCATTTCTTCTCAGATTTGTTAAATGCTCAATTCTTTCCTCTCATTTTACCCTCTGTTTTAGGTGGGTGGGGGGGGGGGGGTGACTGAACCCCTAAATACCAAGTCTCGTGTCTTTACATGTACATCGTGTAAATGCCAACAGAAAGGAGACATTTGCAATGACAACACTGTTCATACAGTGTACATATCTGTGCACACATGTAGGACTGAAATATTTCTTCCCTCGATCATATATGATTTCATATCATTTCATTTATCTCTGCATGACCTTTCTAGTGCAACTACCAAAATGAAATTCTGTGATCAATCAGAAAAAGTGGTGAACTATTGATTTTCATTTTTATATTATTTGTTTTATTGTGCTCAGATGCACGCGACCGGCGAATGCCCTTGGATAAAAAATGTGATTGATTGATCAGCATCATGATAGTAAAAAAGTACACAGAATATGTTTATAATTGAAGCAGTTGATGATGAATTTTTTTTTATAGATTCTCCCTTCCTGCTCTTCATGAAGATTCATGCAACCCCTTTTCTTTTTCCTGGTTTTTAAATTGCGATGGAATTTGTCAATTTAGTTGGTACAGTATGTTATTTACAATTAATGGCTGGAAAGCACTACACTTGCGGTGTACAGTGAAGCTGATCTAATTAACCAATCCCTGAACTTACAGAGGTTATACACTGAAGGTTATGTACAGGCCTTAACAGAACATTTGTATATTTTTTACAAGGCATGTCCCCCCCCCCCCCCCCCCCCCCCCCATAGTGGCCATACCCCCTTCTCTCTCTTCCCCTCCCTCTCTGTCTCTTGCCCTTTCTCTCACTCTGCTCCCCACTTTCTTCACTTTCTTACTCACTTGATGTATCTCTCACTCCCTTTTTCAAACCTTCTCTCTCTACCAATGAGACTTAAAGGTAAAGACCAGTATTGGAAACGCCCCAATTTCAAAAAATGAAATGGAAGCTCTTTATTACCAATCATGTGAAAGAATATGTTTTTTAACTAATACATGATGATAAAAAATTTGCCGGGAAACCGCCTACTAATTGATATATTTGGTAAATTAATTTATCTATTGGACTGTGAGAGATAAACGCACGTGTCGGGCACGTGTGCGTATATAGTCCCATGTACATCTTCCTGTGTACAGTGCTTGTAACTTTACGAAGACTTGTCCAAATTTCTTATCATTTTGATGATTCCAGAACCTTGCGGTACACACCAATACTTATATGCTAGATGATCAACCTTTTCTGATCGATTCCACAACGTTTCTTTCACAATGCAATCGCATGACCATAACTGGTCTTTATCTTTAAAACAAACAAGTATTACAAAGTGTTGAAAATCAATACTTTTGAGGGCACACTGATCGTGATTGTGAATTTGTAATGAATCATCATTCTCCAATTATTTATCTAATTAGCCCTCATTGTTCAGGGCCTATGATTCATGATAAGAGGTGTATTAGGTTTCTGAATCTGTCCAGATTGAGTTGTTTAGTGAAGCTTTAAACTGCGATCATTGCTGTCTACATTGTGTAAATATTGATTGATTTTGAGGGAGTTTTCATGGTCATGGTAGGGATGATAGGAGGCTGTTATCAAATTGTACAGTAATCATATTCTGGTCATGATCCAGTAGTTAAACAACAGAGATTTGTAGATTGAAAGGATATATTCTTCAGGGTTTAAATAATACTGTGTACTCTAGGTAACATACATGTACGCCACCTCCCCATGACTGAGGTGCTGTAATTTATTCATGTCAGGCATACTACATGTACATATACATGTACATGTACCTATAAATCATGGACTTAAACAGTTTTCAAATATTTAGTCCCCCTCCCCATTTCTTTACAGAGAAATATGGACCATCCTTAATGTACATTATGAACTTAAAAATTATGAATTGCATAATAATAATAAAAATCTACACAGCAAAGTAACTGTGTTTTCCATTATGACTTTAACTGTTCACCACTTCTCACCGACTTCACATAATCATCAAGAGTATGAGCATTGAAGGATTTTTTTTTAACAACTGTTTTGATTTAAGCCTACGACTGTATCAACTGTTTTTGTCATTTGAGCGACCATGTCACAGCACAGTAGCATTTGCTTTGATACAGTATGTTGTGTGGGAGTTGTATGATGAAGGCACTTGATTGAGTGTGAGAAATGTCACCTATTTTCTGCAAGGTTTTGATTGGCACGAACTGTCTGTGTGGATATTTGGTCTCCATGACAGAAAACTTTACAATACAAGTCAAGGTTGATAGAATTCTATTTTAGTTGAATGTATAAACTTAGAGGAGTCAATGTCCAAGGAGTTTCCTGTATTTTTGTTTGCATAATAATGTGCAGTCTACTCATACATTGTAGCTGCAAATACATCCAGCAATTTCAAGATACGTGGCTTTGACAGTGGCCATGATGGTGGGTATGTAAGCTTGTATTTATGACCATAAGTCATAGACATCCAAGAGACTGAACACCCCCAAATTAAGTATCGCTCTTGCCAAATTACAGTACATGTCTTTCAAACTACGGGGTGTACGTGAAATATAACATCACTTTTGAAATTCTGAGTAAATTGGTTTATATTTTTTTGTTCTGTAGAATGCAGAAGCATGCAATATTTGTATAATGTTGATTTGGTACAATACAACCTTGGTGTTTTCCTTTTTTCTTCTCAAGAATAATCTCCTGTTGCGATTAATATTACCAGATACCTATTCAATACATCGGAAATACTTTGTCCAAGGATGTAAGCAGCTAACAAGAATTGAATCCAGGACCTTTTTTTTTAGAGTCAAGAGCCTTTACCGATATACCACAGCTCTCTCTATGATTGGCAAGTGGTAAAACTGCCTCTCTTGCACAATTACCAGAATTTCCCTTGTCCTTTTACATGTACCACATCTAATTTGCACACTTGACTTGCATTTTTTTGTTTGGGTGTGTTAAGGGTAATTAGAAAGGTCAATGTCATTGCAGGCATTAATTATGAGGTTCCCAAAGGAAGGCAGGGCAATTAATACCTTTTAATAGTTCGTAAACATATACAGTGTACCCTGCTGTAATTAAATTCTTCATCAATTTCAAATGAGTAGGCATCTAGATATATTGTACACATACACACATGTTGACCTACATGTACAGTGCACATTTGCAGATATGTTATAAATATTTTACATGTAGTTGTCTTGAAAATGCATGTCCAAATGTTGTATAGGCATGTACAATGTACATGTACACATGTAGTTTGTCCCCCCCCCCCCCAAAAAAAAAAAAGGAGTATTGAAGAGGTGTAGTAAAGCTTGAGAATGATACTGTTTATCAACCCAGCTTTAAATACACCAGAGTTACACAGAAGTGAGAGATCTAGCAGCATCTGTTCAATTTCATATTTATCATCCAGTCCAGCAGTACCAGACATTGCATTGTAAATCAATGCATCTCCCAATGCCAAGTTGCCATGGAAACCCTTTTCTTTTTAGAGGGGCAAAGGATAGTATTCCTGCATATGACCTTGCAGAGCTAGCTAGCTGTGTCTAGCTGTGACACACTCTGATTATGACTCAGTGCATGATCAATCCACTGTCCCCTTTTTTTCTTATAAGTCTGTGGATAGGGTGATATTCTGGGAGTTTAGATGGCAGAATAGACCATTAAATATGCAACAGGCTGCTATAATTGTAATTTCTGTTTGTGCTCACTGGCTAAGATGGGGAGTTAGTCATCACATCACATATGAAAATCAAACTTGCAAGCCTGGTTTTGGAGTAATAGAAAATATATACACTGTACACATACATGTACATGTAATGTAATGTGTGTTTGGCATCTCATCTTCATTTGAAAAACATATCAATACCCCTCAATCATCTAATGATACTTGTTTGTAACAAGAAAATGGCTCCTTATAAATATTTTGCTGTAGATGCATACTGTAGAATACATTGATTATTCTACTTATTTTAAAACTGATTTACATGAAAATGCTGTTTTTAAGTTTGTTTAGCACAATTTCATGCCTCCCCTAACATATTATTTCCCTGTCTTTCATAAAAACCAGTCCTGATAGAATTTAAAAACACAATTTTTATATCCAAATTGAAACTTAAATTGTAACTAAAATTTCTGTGAAAATTGATCATTGATATTCCAGCGCCTCTTGAGTAGCTGTCTAAACACATTTCAAAGGTGTTAGCTATGATTGATCCCAGCTTATTTCCCTTGAACCCTGTCACATATGGGAGTGATAAATGCATTGATATGAACAGTGTCTACCGGTATGCATATTATTGGAGATCAATTCTCATTCAGGCCTTGAGGTTTTCAGACTCTTCAACAAATCGTTAGTTATACATGTCTTCTTTCATGATTTCATACATCTTTTTTTGTTGTCTCTTTTAGCTATATGTTTGTTTATAATTCTCGTTATTTCAGTTATATGAACCCTTGGGAATTCTATTTTTTGTATACCCTTGAGATACAATGTACTTGTAGTGTTCATATACTTAGGGACTTCCAGTCTAACAAGGAAACAAAATCACCATGTACATGTTCCCGTACGAAAAATGTACACACGATAACACAAATAAAAGCATCAAAATATTTCTTTTTTTAATGCAGAAAAGTACAAAAGAAGGGGAAGAAACAGTGCATTATTTAAAGTACAAAAGAATGTAGCTCAGGGCCTCACCCTCTGCTTGGCCAATCAAGGAACAACAGTTGCATATTTTCTGTAACCTTGACCATGACTAATCGTTCTCTCTCTCTCTCTCTCTCTCTCTCTTTCATTATAGGTCAGCTGAAGGTGTTTGACTGCCTGGGTAGGGATCTCTTAGACAATGCATTCGAAGGCTACAACGCATGCATTTTTGCATATGGACAAACAGGTAAAAAGCAAAATATTACATTTAGTGATCACTACTATAATGATAAGGATCATTTTGATTGAATGATACTATACATGTAACTGAACATCTTTAAGTATTTGAAGTCACCCAAAGAAAATTCACAAACACTGATAATTATGGACAAATTATATATGGATGGAAAGAAATCTCTTGAAAAACACAGATATATTACTGAAAAATATTATACATGTATATCATGGAAAGGCGTAAAATGCAATTTTGTGGCTAGCTCTGTCTCGCATTTGACCTCACGAATCTTGACGCTCTACGGAGGACCGCTGAAGGCAGCAAATCTTGATCTCAAAATTAACATTTTTGAGAGAAGATTACTACGGGCCCTAAACAAATTTTGGTTCTTTGGGTGACTACTTTAATGCTTATTTTGACTGATTTAAATCACTACTAACTTTTTTACACTAAAAAACCATTTGTAGTTAAAATTAATTTGACTATCATATCTGTTGATTTGAGAGTAGTTCCCTCTGCGGAAATATCAAACAAGCGCTAGATGTTCATTTCTTACAAAGAAGCTCTGACTGTAAACTTCCATACATGACATCTTGAAGGATATTATTCAAATATTCACAAAGTTTTATGGAGTTTGCACAAGTCTGCAAAAGGGACTTACTGCCTTTAAAGCATCATGTAACACGTTTGACATGTGAAGTCTAACCATATCTTTAATCCATCTTGTACCCCCTCCCCTCCCCTTTTTCCTCCAGGATCAGGTAAATCTTACACCATGATGGGTACAGACGACAAGAAGGGGATAATCCCTCGCCTCTGTGATACCCTGTTTGAGAGGATGGCTAAGGATGCCAACGAAGACACACTCTCCTTCAAGGTGGAAGTCTCCTACATGGAAATCTACAATGAGAAAGTCAGAGACTTGATCGATCCAAAAGGGTAAGAAAATGAGAGAGGTTCAAATAATAATAATGATAAGAATAATATTGAATACTTAAATAGCGCACAAATCCACCAAGCTAGGTGCTCTCGCTGCTTCAATATTACCTCGGCTCTGCTAGGCTACCGATTTCGGCGCTCACAGCATTCAAGGAATTCCTTCCTACTGGTACCCATTTAATACCTGGGTGGAGAGTGGCAAATGTAGATTAATGTCTTGCCAAAGGACATTAGTGCTGTGGCGGGACTCGAACTGCGGATTCTGTGATCCACAGTCCGACGACTTATCCACTAGACCACAGCACCTCTATAATAACACTTTTTTAGCTCAGAATATGGTAAGCAAAGGGAGGCAGAGTCATTCCAGGTTATTAATTCCCTTTAGAAATTGGGCCGATACTGTGTTCAAGGACTGGTCAGGGCTCATGCAATCACTACATGTGGGACTAGAGCTTGCCCAAAAGTTTCCTTGAACTGGCCAGAAAGTGGCTTGAATTTCACATATTGCCCTCAGTGAAATCTCTTGCAAGCATCCATTCTACCCAAAAGCAAGAGACATATTTCTCCCTGTGAAGAAATAAGATCTGTATCTAAATCGTCTAATATGACTTCTGAAAGTCTCAATTTCATGTAAATTTTCATGGTTCTACCTTCTTTTCTCCTTCCCCATGTGTTGTATTCTCCAGGAATAAGCAGAGTCTGAAAGTGAGGGAACACAAGATTTATGGTCCATATGTGGATGGCTTATCAACCCTGGCTGTCTCTTCATTCGAGGTTGGTATTGCACATACATATTTTTTCAATTGTAACTGATGCTTACCGGTAATGTTAATTTAAGTTGTGGCATATATTACAATTTTTCTCCTTTACTATCAAACATTGATAGATTTTTTTTATTTTGGGGGCTACTTTGTCATTTTGTAGCGCGGTTATATTTTACTTATACATGTATATGAAGCCATACAGCATACATGTAGTACAAATAATTATTGATGTTATTGATATGGCATCTTCTTCTTGTACATGTACATGTACAACAGTTTCATGTAGTCCTCAATCCTGTACCATGCATGCCAACTGTTCAGATTAAAGAGGAACATTCCTCTTTTTGGGAGAAGATAATTATCATTTTAATGCAGGTGTTCCTCTTCCTGTATAAATTTGTCTGTAGTATTGAATAGGAGAGTTAGGATTGTTCCTCTTTTTTTTTTAAATAGCATAATTTGTACAGATTTCTGATTTTCAAATGTTGGCATGTATGCTGTACACACTCAAGGCCTGGTTAGACCTCCACCAACAACACTAATGATAAAACTATTTATGCACATTGCACAGAAAACAACATGTATATAAACAATAGATGTGGTCAGACATTACTGATTTTCGCAACAATGAAATCTTTGGTTCTTTTCCATCAAATATTAAGAACAATGCCTTCATTTGTCCTCTGCCACAGAAATAGCATTGAAGAAATGGAATTATCTGCCCACAAATATGATTGTTGAGGTCTGTCTTTAAAACAATAGTGGCCAAGTGATCGCAATGAGACAATGAAATAATTGAGAGAGACTCGGCAGCATTATTGTTGAGGTCTGACCTACAGCAACGTTTTAAAATTTGTTTTCCACATGAAGGATGGGAAAGCAATTGGGAAACAATTTATCGTTATTGTTATCGTTATCATTATCATTGAGGTCTGACCAGGCCTTCGTGCTGATAACTGTCAAGTATTGCAGGAAAAATGTTTTTGTCTCTTACGGCAGTAAAGTCTGATATGAATGCTTCAACTAATGTGGGTGCTTATTTGAACAGGTGAAAATCAAATTATTTCACCTGGTATGTTATAGATTATTTCTTATTTTCTTTCTCTCTATTATCTCAGTTGAAGATGCTTATTGACTTTTAAATAAGCAACTGTTGTGAGGCTGGTTATGACGAGATGAAAACGATCATTACTCCCTACTGTGGTATTTGTCATCTATCATAAACTGGTGCCTTTAAAGTGACTCTGTAACATTGCCTCAGATTCTGAAACAAAATCCTGGATTTAGCTCATGCTGCCATCATAATTATAAACCTTTAGGGCAGTCAGGAATCCCATGACTTTTAAAAGCCCACCGCCTGTCTGATTATCAAGATATTTATGATTGGAATTCAAAATTTCAAAAAACATTTTCCCGGACGGTTTTAATAACACCACAGTCTATTGGGGAAAATGAGTAAGGTAAAACCGGTCACTCAAACTAAGACTTTCACTTGTTTGAGGCACTTCATGATCATTTTGAAGCGCAATTTTCTATTTAGGGCTTCAATATTCCACTATAGTATATCACAGACACTGATTACACGTAGGGCCATGCATCTCAGATATGTAAAACTGGAAACATTGTCAAACAATGCCTTTAAGACTTTATTGAAGTTTTTATCTTTGCCTGTCAACCTCCTGTCACCCTCTATTCCTGTCATGGGACAGGATAGATGATTTTCTATGGAGACAAGATTCTAGTTGAGATCTCTTTACCTCATTAGCATGCCATCTGAATACCTCCATCTAATCCCATAGGAGACATAATCAACCGCAGTAGCCTTGTTCACACTTAGAATTGTTCTTAGGGACTAGTTTGGATCTCTTTTAATACCTTATTAGCATGCTGTCTGAATACCTCCATTATTCCATCCGCAGTAGCCTTGTTCACACTAGAATTGTTCTTAGGGACAAGTTTGGATCTCTTTTAATACCTTATTAGCATGCTGTCTGAATACCTAGATCCGATCTCACAAGAGATCAGCCATGGTAGCTTTGTTCACACTTAAAATTTTGCTTGGGGACAATTTTGGATCTTTTTACTTCATTGGATACTGACTGAATATCTAAAACAGATCTCACAGGAGATTAACCATGGTAGCCTTGTTCATACTTGAAATTGCTCTTGTGAACAAGTTTGGATCTCTTTACCTATTATCATGGTGTCTGAGTACTTCAATCCGATCTCACAGTAGACATAATCAACCACCATAGGATTTTTCACACTAAAATTATTCTTGTCGTGCGATACAGTGGTGGTTCTGCTGCACATGTGAACACATACTGTTTCACGGAGAATGTTGAATCTCCACTTTATTTTTTATCTTATAAGTAATATGACTATCCCAATTCATCCATGTTTGTACCATGTGCCATTGTTTAGAAAGCCAAGGTTGAACCAACGAAGTTCAAGTAATATGAAAAGTCCTCTTTTTTATGCAATGCTCTAATTGCTCTTATGAGGGGCATAACTTTCCTTGCAGACAGGTTTCTAGTTAGAGTCTTGTGACCTCATTAGCATGCTGTCTGAATGCCTCCATTCGGTCTCACGGGAGACATACATATGTACATGTTTAACCACTCTGGCAGGAACCCTGTTCTCACCATAAATTATTCTTGAGTATCTTCTGAGAAATTTACAACCTTTACCTAAACCTCCCATCTGAATACCTCTGTTGGATCTCATAGGAAATATATACAGTAGGCTTGCGGTTGCACCATGTGAGAGAGGGGAGGATTGGGAAGTCCTGAAAAGAACTCTCTGTCATCTTTCTTTCTTGAGTGTGTGTAGTCCTGAAAAGAACTGTTGGTAGTCTTGATAGCTTATAGTTCTAAGGAGAACTATAGAGCCGGTGGAGAGGATGGGTGGTAGGAGTGGCTTGACGTTTCAAACAGGTTGACTATCCGTTGTATATTATCCACTGTATCTCTGAGGAGCTTGAGATGGGCCTGATTACTTTCAAGAAGATTAAATAATGAAAAGTATAATCTTGCGAAACTTCTCAAGCAGTTTATCTCTTCTTTCCAAACCAATGCTCCTATGGGGTGCATAATTTTCTGGCAGACAGGTTTTCCAGTTTTGGGTCTCTTGACCTCATTAGCATGCTGTCTGAATACCTCCATTTAATCCCATAGGAGCAGTAACTGTCCTCTGTAGCATTGTTCCACTGTGCTCCATGTTCTAGAGGGCTAAAGTCTTGAAAGACATTAAATTGGAGATTGTAAGTAGTGCACACATGTATTTTCTACATGTATGAATATTCAGCTAACTGTAGAATACTGAAGATTTATCAATAAATTGTATAAGGGTTATGGTTAGGGTTATGGTCAGGGTAATAGTTAGGGGTATGGTTAGGATGGTAACGGTTAGGGGTAGGGTCAGGGTTAGGGTTACTTGTGTGATAGGGGTATTCTGTAGGTATTCTGAGTATTCTTGTGAAACATTGCCAATATACAATGCAGTTCTTTGATGGAGAGGGTTATTTCTTGATTGAGCGACAGTATTTGTGTGACAGACAGTGCGAATGATTGCTGTATGTTCATAGGAAAACTAATGAATCCTGGTTTCTTTGAGGGAAAGGTCAGCACATTTCAAAAGATCTATACGGATTGCAAGAAGAACCATCAGGTTTGACTGACAAACATGAATATTTTTCAGTTTTTATTAAATAAAAGTAATGTAAAATTTGCTGGACAAGCAGGTCTATCTTTCTTTATGTTTCTGCCTCTTTCTTGACCTAATTTTGGATTAAAATTTCTTTAAATTTGTCTTTTCTCTTACATCGGAAAAAGAGATTAAAAAGATGAGTCATCAAGGAAAAAAAAACTATCTTAAGATGGGGGAGAAACAGTACACGAGGGTGAGCAGAAGTTCAGAAAGAAAGAAGAAAGAAATAGGGTACGGTAATTGAAAGATTAAGAAAATTAAGTTACCCTCAAAAACAAATTCCCTTATCATTTAGTAAATTATGTAATTAAAAATATCAACTTGGAGTAACTTGTTGAAACTGCCTGTAATGATCTGGGAAAAAATGATTAATTAATTTGAGGTAGATTATAATTTGATTGTGTGTCTATTATCTGTCTAAAATATGAAGTGATAAGTGATGCATGGTTGATCATAAAGGTGAGCTCTTACAGTTTTCTTAAATGTTCTTTCTTTATTATGTTTTTTTCTAGGGGGGGGGGTGGATAATTCTAGTACAGTAAGCTTTGACCTTATCAAGAAACAGAGTTCAAAGGGAGCAGAAATTTGAATAGACAAAGACCAAGAGATGTAGCATATGAAGAAAGGCATTAAGAGAGAGAGCTAGAAAATGTGTGCCAAGACAATTACCTTGAAAAAAGGATCTTTTACAAAGTAGTACAGAAAATATAAAGAACAGAGGGGTTGAGTGGGAAAGGAGTTTGGGAGAGAGGTGAGGAAAGAGGTGAAGAGAGAGGGTAGAGAGGTAAAAGAGGGGAGGGAGAAGAGGAAGGGAGGGAGGGGGATGGAGGAGAGGAAAGAAGAAGGGAGAAGAGGAAGGGAGGGAGGGGGACGGAGGGGAGGAGGGAGGAGAGAAGGGGAGCAGAGGGAGAGGAGATAGGAGAGAAAAGAACAGAGGAGAGGAAAGAAGAAGGGAGAGAGAGAGAAGAGAACAGAGTAAGTTGGATTTGTGACACCTACAAAACATGTACAGCAAGTTAAAAACACAAGTGAGAAATGCAGTATGTTATCAATATACTCCCACCTCTTGTAATCGACATGCCTCAAGACAAACAGAAATGTTTGCAATCAAGATGGAAGAATAATAATGGAACATGGGATCAACTTTCTTGAGCACCGCACCAGTCTCCGATGATGCCAGTCTCAGATGATGCCAGTCTCCATTCACATGGTGCCTTTCATCAGACATCATCCAATTATGATAATGTAATAAGTATGCTGCCTCTTCAATTCTCTCATGGATGAAATACTGAACAAGGGATTATGCATGCTCCTGCAGAGAGAAGGGTTTTACTTTTTTATTATAGATAATACCAGTACTTAAGAAGTCACTCATGAATGGAATCAATGTCACATTGCAGTATTATTATTAAAAGAGAGTTGGAAGTGCTGAGAACTAAAGGGGCAGGGAGGGAAATGGGGACTCCCCCTTAGAACTAATTACTTAGAATTGACTAATAAGTTTGTACTTTCTAAGAAGATTAACAATGTAAGGCAGGTTTTACTGTTGTTGTTTGTTTTTTGTTTTTTCCCTTCAAGATAGTATACAGCTTACCTACATGTACTTCAAATTTTGAAATCTGGGAGTAAAAAGCTTTTCATTGAGTATTATTTGTAATAGTAGGCCTAGAGCTTAGCCAATATTTAGGCTCTGCATTGAAAACTTGGGGGTCATCCTGGTAATCAGACAACCCATGAGACTGACTACACAAACAAAAATGTGAAAAAAACATAGACAAGAAGGAAGTTTCAAAAGAGCCTGACAACGCATGAAACTTACAAAATCAAAGAAATACAAGACAGGAAGATGGAAAAATGCTGGCCTTGTTGGATGTTCAATTTAGTGGGATGCTGGTCTCTTGGGCTATAGACATGGGATTTTTTAAGACTTTTAGCCAAGTATATACATGAACATGTAGATTGATTGCACTTCCGGGGAATATACAGATGTACATGCACTTTAGTTTGGACTCAAAGTGATCGGTTTCCTTCCATTCCTGACACGAAATCACTCAACATCCCAAACAGAAAATGACTCTAAATCATCATGCACATACATGTAGAGTATGTTTAGAGTGAAGCAGCAACAAGTTTGAATAGAAATTCTTCATGGAGCTTTAATCATTGACCAACAATTATTGATTACAGGCAACAAAGAACAGATGTACATGGCACTTGACACACACTTCATAGTACTTGATAATTGTTTGGTAATGTACATGGTCAGCCATACTTTTGAGTAATTTTGAAGACACATGTGTTACGTACATCTTTGCCTAGGTCCATCCACTTTTGCCCCTTTTTTATAGTTTTAGATTAAGTGTCATGCTTTAGGGTAATTAACATCATACAGCTTAAGGCACTTTTTTTGGTAAAATAATCTGAAATCTTGTTTTCTACATTTTCTTCACAAATCTACATCTACATTGTACCTGTATATCCCTATACCCCTTAATGGTATTGGGTCTTAATTTCCACAGGGTTATATTATTATTCACTGACCTCAAAGGGTCCCTTTCCTTCTAATAATTGATTAAAAACTTTGTTAAATTCCACATTCTTCATTATGGAAATAACCAGTAGATATAGGGTTTAAGAATTCCTTTATTTATAAAGTTGTCAAATTATACAAACTGACCACGTTCTTGTAGTGTCCGATGCCGTTGGGAGCTGGAGAAGTTATATTAAAGAGAAGGTTGAGTTCTGGGAAGAGGTGAAAAATAATTTGTGAGCATTACTCATTCTTATTATGCAAGCGTGGAAGAACATCAGTTAAGACATGTTCCCTGAAAAGCATGGCTCTTCAAATGCCTTCATATTCTAAATATGCATGTAACATCGTAAAAATCGGGGGGGGGGGGGGGGGGGCCGGTTTTTTACGCCACGTGTTCGTGTAGTCCCAAATACATCTTTCTGTGCAAGTGTTTGTAACTTTACCAAGACTTGGCCAAATTTCTTATCATTTTGATGATTCCAGAACCTTGCAATACACACAAATTCTTATATGCTAGATGATTAACCTTTTCTGGTCGGTTCCACACCGTTTCTTTCACAATGCAATAACATGACCATAACTCAACTTTATCTTTAAACTTCTGTGCTAGCTAGCTCAATCAAATGTTCTGTCCCATGGGGTAAAGGGAATACTTATTGCGCTGCAATATTTCTGCTAGAACTCACACTGCCGCGGAGGCCATACTGTCACAAAATAGGAAGGGGCGAAAAGACTACATATTGCTGCAATATTCATTTCAGCTAGAATTCGCACTGCACTGCAGAGCCAATACTGTCACAAAAGTAGGAAATTCCACATATTTGTCGTACGACTATTTACACAACAGTTTGGGAGTATCTTTCTCAGGAAGTAAGTGTAAACATGCACAAGTCTGTTATGCAGTTGGGTTTCATGGGTGCTTAGTTTTATTACCCTAGTTTACAAATATAAATAGTCAAAGCATGGCTGTTTGTACTGTACTCTAGCATTCAAGGAAATTCTCCCAACAGGTACCAATTTCCTGCAACTACATTGGAAATAACAAATGTAGAGTAATGTGTCGCAGTGTTGCTGAAGGATATTTGTGCAGGGACTTGAACCCTCAGACTTTTTTGCGGTCACATGGATGAACCACTTCACCATTATTACCACAAGAATGTTGTGAGGCACACTCAGCTTACATACATGTAATGTTCCGCCTACTCTATTACCATAGTATTAATCAATGCACATGAAGTCATGCATTTTAATATGATTAAATTGTAGAGGAGTTACAGGTATTTTGAATTATGCAAATGAAAGGCCTTTGTTTAAAAAGAGCCAAATATTTACTTTTAAAAAGATGTTTTTCAAAACACATTCATTGTACATTTGTAAGTTTAATGTTTTTTCGGATACAAATAAACATAATGTGAGTGCATTTGTTTCTTTCCCAAATGTGTTTTGTGTTTATTCACAAAAAATATAAGAGCTTTCAAAAATAATCTTTCTTTTCTATTTTTGTATTCCTTGTAATAACCACCTGATTTCATTTTGTAGCAAAAAATATTACCATTATCTTCTAATTGTTGAGGCAGTCATGAAGAAAGACAAAAGGTCTTCAAAACAACACAATTTTTAAGAAAAAGTATATAAACTGGCATATGCCCTGATTTGATCGAAAATTAAATGGTTTTGGAAATACATGAATACAGTTCCATGTTTACTTTCGGTGTAAACAGGGTTTGGACTTGGAATCAATTGTAGTTCGCTTGGAGGTGTTTTGCATGCACTTAGTAACACTATCCGTCTCAATCTTGAATCTCACTTGGAGCATATACAGGTGTACATGTGTACATGTAGGCTGAGCTACGTTCTCACTTCTCAATTATTATGCAAAATTGTGTTATTGAAGTGAATTTCGAGGATTACATTCCACCTGTATTTAGATGTATGCATATTTTAGCTTTGAGACTTTGAAAAAAGTCTTGGGTTCTGTTGATGATACTTCATTTTTCAGAGAAACTGTCTTGAAAATTAGTTGTACTTTTGTTGATAATGTAATAAAGAAAAAAAAAGAACATCTGATTTGCTCTAGGAGTGAATAATACTCCTGATTTGGATGTAATTGGACCAGTGTTGTTGCTTCAACCCGCTAATCCTGAAAACTTGCCCAAAGTCATTTAAACTTACATCGAGAAACATCATTGTTGAAATACACAGACGCAGCAACACACTGTACATGTACAGTGGATGTACTGTACCTCGGCAAGGGCATTTTGCTTTGTAATCCCAAAAGATGCAATCCAATCTTTTTGTATGATTATTCAGGTTATTCATTTTCATTGCATTGATGAGGCAAGCATTGTGTTCTTGTAATAAACCATTCAGTGTTTATCATTACAAGAAGGCAGTGATACAATTTTGATGGGGAGATAGAGAGAATGAGAAAGATGGATTTAGAAGTAGAAGGCAACCACAGTGAGAAATTCAAATTCAATTATTCATAACTATTGGGAGATTAGGGGAATTTTGAAACGGGAGAAAAGCATTAGGTATTTAAAGAAGAATGATAAACATGTATCGCCGGACAAAGAGGGAGAGAAAGAGAGAGGGGAGGGGAATTAGGGAGAGAAAGTGGGAGGGGATTAGGGAGGGAGGGGGGAGGGGATTAGGGAGGGAGAGAAGAAGATATTTAGAGACTGATTGAAAGAGGAGACAAACAGAAAAATTATCTACATGTCTGATCCTAACTTCTCTTTGGAAAGAGGAAAAAAATAATCGTTTTGAGAGATGGGAAGAGAAGAAAGCATAGAAACGTGCATGGACATGATAACTACTATATATTCAAAGAGCCAGCATAGTGTTACACAATATGCAAAGAGTGGTTTAATCAAAGCCCTTCTGGTCCTCCGCAGACGATGTCTTATAAGAACCGTGCCATTACGATATTCTCATGCACCCTTGTGAGTTCTCACTATCAAATGAAAAAAGCTTCTGGTTTCATGATTTGCAGACTAAATTGGAAAGGGTTATCTGATATGTGTCTCACACTTGTTGGAGTGGGTTCATGAGCCGGGCAAGCTCATATGAAAAACAACGCGGTTGAAAATCCAGAGTAAGTGCGTAGACCAAGTATAGCTACTTCGAAAGAAAAGCTTCGATGAGGGTCGCATTTTTGTGCCGTCCTACAGGCAGATATCATATAACTGAATTTGAAGTATTACTGAAATATTATTGGTTATGTGGACTCCTACCCTGGGCTGATATTGCCTCTTTATTTCTTTGTTGTTTTGAACATCCCCTTTTTTTCTTCTTAGGGCTCTCAACCCTCTTTTATTTAATTTGTTGTTCTATTTTGAAAGTCTGTTTACTTGCATAACTTTCTCATAACTAAAATATCTTTAAAGTAGTCACCCGAAGAATCAAAAGTGTTATGAATTGATGCAAGATTCATATCATTGCGAAGGGGAAGCCTTACTGATCCAATATAACAACTTCCCTCTTCAAAATATGTTTGGGACCCGCAGTAATCATCTCTCACAAATGTTAATTTGAGATCCAGATTTTCTGCCTTCAGCAGTCCTTCCGTTGAGCGTCAAGATTTGTGACGTCACATGCGAGACACAGCTAGCCACGAAGCATTTTTACGCCTTTCCATGATATTTATATGATTTTTCATGGCGTTTCACTAATGTCTCTCTTGCTCTTTCTCCAGAACATAGAGGCTTTGATGTCAGAAGGTAACAAGTCCAGAACCGTGGCAGCCACCAACATGAACTCAGAAAGCAGTAGATCACATGCAGTCTTCAACATCACCCTTACACAAACACTCACAGATGTAGAATCAGATGTAAGTCATTGATTTGTGCATTTTGACTGATAATTTTAGTACCTTTACTCTTCAACTAATATTGAATATAATTGTTTCTTTTAAAATGCTTTACCAGTTAACGGACCAAAGCACTTGCAGTATTATTATTACCTCGTCAGTTGATTCAATACCATTCTGTACTTTCCGTGAGAAGAACATCACCTAGGCGGATGCTGAAGACAGGAAGACTTGGAGAATGGGCCATTAGGGAAATGAAACCTCCAAGCACACAACGTGGAAAAAACAAACGCTAAACAATGATAATATTCCCTACTTCACTGGGGAGTATTCCAGCCTTTTTATGCGTGCACACACTGTACACATTCTGATAAAATCATGTTGACTTTCCATCCTACTGGGCACCCATGTAACACCTGGATGGAGAGAAGCCATGTAGATTAAATATCTTACTCAAGGACATATTTATAATATATCAAATACTTGCAAGGCACAGTCCCATCAGGAGAAGCTTTCAGAAAAGTTTCCTTCAGGAAAAATAGACAGATAAGGAAAAAATCCAAAAAAAAAAGGCTATTAAACTTCCTGCAAACTTTCCTGCTAAAAGTCAGGAAGTTTCAAACATCCTGGTAAAATACTTTTGCTAGTTCGGAAACATGCTGCTGAAACTATGAGAATTGAACGAATGATTTTGAGCCTGTTGAAACATTGTAAAGTTACGTTAATTCTCGCTACCCCAAATAGCGATTCTGCCGAGATCCGGGGAAAATCCTGAAAACGCGCATTGCATTATGGGATAGCTTTTCGACATTACAGCTTCCTGTGCAGGCGTTCGTGATCACAACCCTCTCTTTCACGGTAGAGTTTAACGGCCTTTTGTGCTAAAGTCACTAATTCTGCCCGAAGCTTTCCATTGCATATTATAATCTGTACAAATTACACTGATTGGCATCGATTTTAGCGTGCGTGAAAACTCTGCACAGCGAACACAGGCGCTAGCGCCAGCGGGATGGGACTCTATACCGGAAGTTGTAGTGACGACCCGAGAGAGTGAAAATTACCTCGTCTCGCGAATTTCGAGATTTTCGTACCTATTTAGGGTAGCGAGAATTACATGTTACATTTACTTTTTTCACTCAAATTCAGAAAGTGTTTGAATATATACACATTCTGTGAAGTGTCTTTTATCAACTAAAAGTGGACAGAAATTTGATCAGCAACTGCTTTATTGAACCAAATAGAATGCAATCTTCAAGTGTATTTTGTAACTCAAGTGTATTTTGTCTTGATGAATATAATGGAAAAACATAGTCACAACTGTGCCAACAAAATTACTAATCATAAACAAGTGCATTATAATTCATTGAAACATTTTAACATTTATCACAACATGTGCTTGAGTTTAATGACAGTTATTGAAATGGTATTTGAAGCACGTCTTGAAGTGTTTTGCATCAGTGTGCAAGCAGTTACCGTATATATTCTGCCCTTGCCTTTCCTATTGTTCATGTTTGTCTGTTCTTGTGGTCTCTTTGTCTTTCTACCAAACACCAATTTCATCTTCATTCACATGATCATCGTCAGGAAGCTAATGATACCATAAGAGTGGTAAGCGTTCTTTCAAACTATCACACTATGCTCATTCACTTTGTTTGTCTCTCTCTGCCTCTGTCAGTCTCACTACCCCAGCCCCACCCTACTTTCCCCTTCTCCCCTCTCTTCTCCTTGCCTCTCTCTTGTTTCTCCCTTTTTTTTCTCTGCCCCCTCCCCCTCTAATTTCTCTCTCCCCTCCCTTCTTTTCTCCCTTGCCCCCTCTTTTCTCTGTCTCCCTCCCCCTCTTTAACCTATCTTCCTCTCTTTTCTCATCCATCTTTCTCTTTTCTCCTCCCTCTCTCTCTCTCTCTCTCTCTCTCTCTCTCTCTCTTTCTCTCTCTCTTTCTATCTCTCTCTTTCTCTCTCTCTTTCTCCGTTCTTTCCCTCCTTTCTCTCTCTGTCTTCTTTTTCATATCATTTGTCTTATTTCTTACTCTCTCCTTTTATTTTTATCTTCCTGTACATGTTTACATCAACTTGGCCATTTTTTGTTAAAAATAACTTCTTCTTGCTTTTGTTTTTTGTTGTAACTTTAGGAATTATCTTGTTTTCTCCTTTGGGGGGGGGGGGGGCTCCTTCTTGCTCCTTTCTGTACTCTGGGGTCTCTTTTATGTCTTGTACAATATATGTTCCCTTTGTCATTTCTTCAACCTTTTAATTGAAACCCTTCTGAATGGAGAACTGCAGGAAAGAAGCATGTTTTCATTAAATTCATTATTTATCTTTCCCATGTTTGCTCCTGCTAGGAATGCCCGCCCTCATATCCTTTAAAAAAAAAAAAAATTCTGCACCTTTATTGATACCCTCCAAGGCATTACGTTAGCACTGTCTTGCATCAGTGAGATAGTTGCATAGCCACAAGACAATCACAACACCCATGAGGGAAATGAAAATTCCCCTACCATGTATGTGCATATTCACCCAAGTGCTTTTCTTTTTCTTATTCACTTCTTTTTCTTTCTTTTTTTCATTTTTGTGCTGCTTGTCATTTTTTAAAGACTGTTTTTTGGAACATGATCCTAACTTCTTTGATAATTGTTCTCCTTTTTTTCATATGACCGGCAGCCATTAACAAATAGATTTTTATAGCTTTCTCTTGTTATGAAAAACAGCCTTGTGATCATTTTCTTTTGTTATATGCTTTTTCAATTCTTTTTGTTCAACTGTCATTGTTTTTTCTTCCTTATATTGGTGAGTTTCAGGGAAACGTGTTTCTCTTTTTATCCTCATTCACGTATGTCTTACCGGTACATCATTGTGTTATCAATTGATTAGTTTATGACGATCTTCTTTTATTTGCATCCTTAGGTATCTGGTGAAAAAGTGAGCAAAATCAGCTTGGTTGACCTGGCAGGAAGTGAAAGGGTGCACAAGACAGGGTCATCGGGTGAAAGGTTACGAGAAGGCAGTAATATCAATAAGTAAGTTGGTCGTCCATCTCAAATTGCATAATGTTTTTATTGTAACATGAGCAGTTATGTTGAGCCTTCAAAACAAGAACAGATTTCGTATTTTACTAAATAAAATGGAGAGCTTTGTCAAAGCACAAGACAACTCCCAGATTCTTTTAGGTTTGAAAATACAACAGAAGAAGATATCTGCTACATCTACTGTAATGAAAGATCAAAGTTTCTTCCTTCTTGTTGAACAAAAATAATTATCATGTCCCTTCCATTTAAAACATTTATATGATACATGTGTATGTTCAATGTTTCTGCATGCATTCTGCCAATCCATTATTGCCAATGCATTGCTGAGACAATATTTTGTCAAAAACATTGCCGAAGCCTATAGTTCATGAAAATGTATGTTCTAAAAACATATATATGATACACATGTATGTTCAATGTTCATGCATGCATGTAGCCAATTTATTATTGCCAGTGCGTTGCTGAGAAAATATTGTGTCAAGAAACTTGTTGAAGCTTATGGGTCATGTACTGTACTGTCATGTACTGTCATGAAAATTCAAATGTCTCATATAGTCACTCAGTACTTTGCAAATGAATGTTAACAAATATGGAAGGTTGTATTTTTATGCTATATTCATCCATAACATGTTTATATCAATATCATATTACTTTACAGATCTTTAACAACGCTAGGCCTGGTCATCTCTCATCTAGCAGACCAATCGTCGGGAAAGAAGAAGAACAACAATTTTGTGCCTTACAGAGATTCAGTACTAACATGGCTCCTAAAGGTATTTGATATATATTATGGGTGATTTAGTGTGTGGCAGTAGCACCTACAGTGTACATGTATTTTGGGTGTTGGCTGTTTGGAAAGCAAAGTAAAAGACTTGAACTTTGTTTCATTTAACGGTCTTAAGTACAAGTTCACCAACGTCCCATTGGAACGCATGTCGAATTTTAAACACATATTTCAATGGGTTGTCAGCGGACTTGTACTTGACTTAACGGTTTTGTGAAACATCCTATGGATTATAGAGGGGCAGTGTTGACATGGCTACATAGCCTACATTATGGGTTATATAGGATTTGGTAAAATCAAGTGGTCTGTGTCTCCTAGGAACTGTGTTTCAAAACAGCAAGTGAAAAATATTCAGAATAAACAGATTTAGAAATTGACTTCTTTTGTTTGTTAGAACCCGGTGAACATACAACATTTGTAGATATAACATCACTATTCCAAGTTCAATGTACAATATGCATTGAGCAAATAAAATCTTTAAATCATTTCTTTTCAGTATGTATTATGTATGTTAGCCAAATAGTGTACCAGTAACTATATTTTGAAGTTGTTCCACAAAAAGTGAAGTCTAAATATATTTTTGTTACAGGAAAGGTCCATGATATTCAAATCATTTTTTTTCTTTTCATTTCTTTTCACACTACCAGTTTATTTACCAAACAATCTGGCCATATTTTTCTAAATTTTTAGCAATAAATACTGATTTCTAAATGTATTTTCAATGCAGGAATGCCTTGGAGGAAACAGTAAAACAGTCATGGTTGCAACAGTGAGCCCTGCAGCTGATAACTATGAGGAATCGTTATCAACGTTACGATATGCAGACAGGGCAAAGAGAATCGTCAACCATGCTGTCATCAATGAAGACCCAAATGCAAAGGTAATATTTTTGAATGCTTGAATACTTTTATGTGAAATGAAATTGATTTGTTTACTTAGAGGAAATTTAAAGATATGTCTCAACGAGAAGCCCATTTTTTCGAGGGGATGGGTCGCTAGGCAAATGTGCATGAATTTCTGAAACATAGAAAAGGAAAAACTTGATGTATTGAACAAAAACCTTTACTGACATTTGAACCCGTCCCAATAATATTTTATTCTTATTTTATCTTTAACACAAATATCTACATGTATGTCAATATGATTTAATTCTTTTTCACAGATCATCCGAGAACTCAGGGAAGAGGTGGATATGTTGAAGAAACAACTGAAAGAAGCAGAGGTAAGATTTCTTGTTTGGTTCTTGCGTTTTTCAGTCAGAATTGTCTCTAAGATTTAAGATTCTGTAACATTCTCTACTACTACTATTAGGTTGAGTTTACTTCTACTGATTCAATATTTTTTTTTAACATTTGGTTCTATTCTTCATGATCTTTGGGAGTTCCTGCCTTGCTAGATAAGTGTCTTTCTATAACTGATCTACATGTATGTATATCATAAAAGTCCCAAACAGAGCTTTGTGTCAGTGATCTACAGAATATCTTCTTAAAATGTTGCTTATGTACATACTTTACTGCATCATCTAATGATTGAAAAGTTATTACTAGCTGTACTACTTTACATGGTATTGCACACCCTGTATTCAGATTGATCTTTACATTATTTCCTTAGTATTTCATAACAGTTCTATTTGAAATTTCTTTTTCTTTCTTTTATTTCTCAGAGTTTGATCTTTACACTACCAGTATTTTCTTAATAGTATTTCATAACAATTCTATTTTAAATTTGCTTTCTCCATCTTTTTTTCTTAGAGTATGAAAGCAGATAGTCTGAAGGATAGACTAGAGGAATCAGAGATGCTTATGAAAGAGATGTCTCTGAGTTGGGAAGAGAAACTTGTCAACACAGAAAGAATACACAAAGTAAGCTCCTTGCCCCATTCAGTAGTGTGATATAAAGTGCTAAATTTTTAGGCCCCCCCCCCCCCCCGCACCACAATGTGTAACAGTTTGTTCACCTGGGATGTGGTAGAATTCCAAATGAATGCCTGTACAAATCTCAATTGCAGCCTCCCCCCCCCCCCCCCCCCCCCCCCAAAAAAAAAAAAAAAAGAAAGAAAGAAGAGAAGTACGAGTCTTTGGACATTAAGCCATTCAGTATTACATAGCTGACTTGATATCAGAATGCATTCAGGTTGCTTTCAGAGGACATTTGATAACTTTCCTCCTGGGCGAAGATCTGGGACCCGTTTCACAAAGCCTATTTTCAATGACAAATGCAAAAATCAGTAACAAATCTACTGATAACCACCAAGAAGCAAGGATTTCAGGAGCTTGTAATGAAAAACTGTCATTTGTCACTGATGACAAGTTTTCTGAAATTGGGCCCCTGATTTCTTTGAAAAGTAACACTTTTGATCTTGGTTGCATTTATATCTTAGTTAAGCACTTTGATTCTGATTGAAAACAGTGTATTAATATGGAAAACTATTTTCCATCTGTCAGATACTGTACAAAAATCTTGGCAATTTACCATTTAGTACTTTTAGTAAATGGCTACAATTTGTGTAATGAAATTGTCAAGTTCTGATGAGCAAAAATGTATTTGATTCTGATTGAAAACACTGTAATACCGTGGAAAGTTATATTAGTCTGTCTGAAACCATCATTTGGGGGGGGGGGGACAATTTACCATGGATACAATGCATATACATGTAATAATGACAATTTTCAGGTACATTGAAACCTGTCTACAGCGACCGCCCAAGGGAAACTCAAAAAGTGGTCTTTGAAGACAGGTTCCTTTAGTACATATTTCAATGAGAAACCATTTTCAAGGGAAACAAAAAATGTGCTTGTTGTAGACAGGTGGTCTTTGTAGACAGGTGGTCACTATAGCAGGTTTGACTGTACTAATATGTAAATGTGTGTTTCACTTTAGGAGAGGCAAGCAGCACTAGAACAGATGGGTATCTCGGTGCAGACATCAGGGATCAAAGTAGAGAGGAATAAATGTTTTCTGGTCAATCTCAACGCTGACCCTTCACTCAATGAACTGCTTGTCTACTACCTCAAGGTAAGAACTGCAGATGTTCACGCTCTTTGCATCCGTGATGTAATCAGGATCTTAAAGCCTGTTTACACTAGTTTAGCCAGGATGGATTAGACCTCCCTGTGTGGTCACTGGCAGGTGGTTATCTCATCAAATCAGCTCTCAATTAACATAAGAAAAAGGGGACTATGGGGAACCAATTGTCACCGATTAGGCATTGTTTGCTATATAGAGGGCGCAAGTAGCTATAAGTAGTGCAATGGGGCTTTGAAGGAACAGGACTGATCTCCAATAAACTATTTAGTTCTGTGTGTGTGGAGTTTCATGCTGCTCTACAATATTACAAATGCAATCAGACAATGGCCCAAACATGCTTGGACTTTTAAGAGTGGTGGGCATTTTTTAATTTGTAGATTTTCAATTTTCTTTGTCATATGTAAAGTGGACAATTATAATGTACATGTATGGCAGCTGTTACAAGTCATTTTCTTTGTCTTTATGTAGGATCACAATGTAGCTGGGAGGGCTGACGAGGAGACACAAACAGATATCCAGCTAAATGGACTTGGCATCATGCCTAGACATTGTACCATTGATGTAGAGAATGACATAGATGTCTACATCTCGCCATGTGAAAATGCAAAGTAAGAATAGTTTCATTCTGTCTTGAACACCAATCTTGTTTTATGTCATCCATTTTAATGTTTGATAGAGTGTTTTATTATGTTATTAAAGGAGTCAGAGATTTTCATTTAGTGTATCAGTTTTTCAGTTAAGTTCATCCAACTTTTTGTTAACAAACAAATAAACATCTTTTTAATTATTCAAATTCTGAAATACTGTATACACTTTTAGCATGTGTGAAAACAAATATAGTTGGTATACAGCAATGAAAATTCCAAGAGAAAACAAAATATATCCATTTTACACCGATTTGTGTTGCAGTTTCAAATAACCTTGTAGAAGAAAAAAAAGACTGTAAAATGATTGATAGTGATATGGGAGAAATTCAATCTTGTAATATACTATGATTGATGGATATTGGCAAGCAATCTGAACATTGGAATTTTAATTAGAAATATAGGAGTGAAATTGACATTATGAATGACAGGTGTAGAGGTGTAATCTACAATCTTATTGATTTGGAATGTGGGATGAGGGATGGATGTTGTTTATTACAGGAAGTGATTTTCATTACAGGAAGGGTAGTGTGTTACATACTTCTCCAGCCATGACCTCAGTGTTTAGAGGGCTTCACAAAAGTAGTTCATGGTTTTTAGAGGTCAGATGTTTTTCGATCAATCCAATTTGTGAATAGGTTGATTTATAGCAGAGGAGATGTGGTGTTAAGTGGAGAGTTTCATTGCTCTACTTTCATGCAATGTCTTTCGTGAATAATGTCAGAAAGTGATAAATAGTTCAGTGAATGTAGTAATAGGCATATTGAAGATGCAGTCACATTGATGTTCTAGTTAGAAATAAACAGTTGTTTTGACATCATCTGTCATATTTAAATGAATTAAGTGTCATTTCATCAGATGGACTTGAAAGCTCTGTTAAATACTTTCTTAAGTACTGTTGTTCTCCCCTTGTATTGAGTATTGAGTATTGACAATTTCATAAATCATGACCCATGTGATCTATGTGTTTTACACATGTATATGAAAAGTTTGTGGCTACCTAAAAAATTAGAGAGGGAGACTGTAATGTTTTCCTATTTTTTGTTTGATAGGGTATATGTCAATGGAAGTGCTGTGACAAGCAAGACATCGTTGAGGCATGGAGACAGGATACTTCTAGGCAACTATCATTTCTTCAGGATAAACTGTCCAAGAGCTCCTGGAGTTGGTAAGAACTGATGATTTATATGTGATGGTGTTTGCATTAGGTGTATAGATGAATATATATGTGGATGGATGGGTGGATAAATAGGTAAATGGATGGATGGTAAGATGGGTGGAGGTTAGAGGGAGTGATGAAGGGAAGAACTGATGGATGGATGAATGACTCGATGGACAGAGGGTAGGAGCAATGAATAGATTATGAATGTATGAATAGGTCGATGGAAAGATGGATGGATGGATGGAAATATGGTGAGGAATGAATAAAGTATTGGATAGTAAATGGATGTATGGATGGGTCAATTATATGAATGGATGGATTTATTGATGGGTGATTGTTGGACTGATGAGTACTTGGAGGGTGAATGAATTGTTAGATAGATAATGAGAGCAAAGGAAGCTAGAACAGGGTCGCCTGGATCAGTTGATGGTTTTAAAGAGAAGGTTGAGTTCTGGTGAGAGGTAAAGAATTATGCAAGTTCGGAAGAACATCAGAGGAAAAACTTTCCCTGAAAAGTGTGGCACTTCAAATGCCTTTATATTCTCAATATGCCATGCAACAGCTTAAAAAATGAGGACCTCATTTTTATGCCACATGCTTGTGTAGTCCCATATACATCTTTCTGTGTACAGTGCTTGTTACTTTCACCAAGAGGGACAAATTACTTTCATTTTGATGAGTCCAGAACCTTGCTGTACACACCAATACTTATATACATGTACTACAAGATCAACTTTTTCTGATTGATTCCACACTGATTATTTCACAATGCAATGACATGACCAGAACTCAGCTTTATCTTGAAATGTTTGTTGTGATTATTTTGTATTTTGATTTTGATTTTGTTTGTTTCATAGGATCAAGTGGAACAACAACCCCTGAGCCTGTGGCCCAGCCAGTGACAGAAAGCTTTGACTTTGATTATGCACAGAATGAAGTCATGATGCAAGAACTACACAATGGTAAGCAGCACAATAAAACAGAAATAAAATAGTAAATTTATGTACTTGTCAAGTGCCAACTGCTAGTCTACAATTACAAAATAAAATACTTCATTCACAACTACTGTATATGGAACATTTCTATTGATGAAAGGATAACTCATAAATGTAACATTTGTACATCTTTAACCATTGATTAATTGTGTTATATTGGGCTGTATGAAATTCATTACATCAGGTAAAAGTTGACTTCTGTAAATCAACTTGATTAATAATTGACAGAAAAATACTAACTTGTATATTTTGATGGCAAGTAGTCAATTTATATTATTTTCAATTTTTCAATTGCCCATAAATTCAGATTTTTTTTTTTACAGCTTTCTCTCTAAATGGATAAAAATCAAACACTCCTACTCAAAGTTTTGGCACAGATAGAAATGATTGGGTTTGAGCAACTTCTTTAAAAAGTGGTTTATGTGTCAGTGAGCACTTGGGCCTTAAGAAGTTAAGTCTATGTTTCACTAACCATTGACTTCATTGGGGTGTTGGGTGGAGTTAAGTCTTTGTGTTTCCTGGAAAGCCAACATGTTTCTGAACATTTTGATATCAAATACTTATTTTCACTAGACCCTGTACAAGCTGCCATGAAGCTCATAGAAGTCCAGCACCAGAAGGACAAAGATGGCGCCCTTTTCAAGCAGCGGGAGGCTTATGAGCAGGAGCTGGCAGCACTGAAGCAACAGCTGATTCCCAAGAACTCATCAGGTCACCACCAACCCAACAGCAGACCGGAGGACAGGAGGATAGAAGATGAAGGAACCCAGAGCCAGAGTGGGGATGGGTCGTCGTTAGGGATAGGGTCGTCGCTAGGGGTGGAGCCTTACGAGGAGTGGAGCGAAGACAGGTCAGTAAAGATAAATCTTAGGTCATGAAATGTGCGTGTACAAGGAAATATTTGTGTAGTTTGGCTGGAATGCTCCCCAGGGAGTGGAGATTGTGCACACATTGTGTGCGGGCAAGCACTGAATCCAATGACCGGGGTAATAGTATATTTGTAAAGCGCTTAGAGACATTTGTATTAAGAGCTTTATACAAATTAAATATTATTATTATTATTATCAATTATTATTAGTTGATAAAAGATGTCTTCACATTAGATGGGTAATTAGCATGTTCATGCCAAAATAAAGGGGTTTTCTTAAATTTTATGAAATGTTTGAAAGACTTTCCCCTTCATTTGTAATGTATTTCTAATATGAATGAGTATTTAACTTGGCGTGATAATTTGACAACTTCATTTGTTGCCCCTAATTGTGGAAATTTGCTTTGCACCAGCATTAAATTGCCTATGGTTGTGCCTACTGAGCTAGTGACTCTACTTGTGCATAAACATGTATATCTTTATTTTTTGTCTAAAGACTTTCTGGAAAATAGCCTTGGGGCTCATAACAAGGTTTGGAATCCACTGAAATGTCTAATTTATCAATCCGGGTATGTACTTGTCGTTGGTAAGTCAGTTGATGAACTCTAAATGGTTTTTTCTCCCTAGGGATGATATGTTCAGACAGAGTCTCGCCAAGCTGAGAGAAGACGTTGTCAAGGCAAACGCCCTGATCAGAGAGGCCAACTTCCTGGGGGAGGAAATGGGCAAACAGACAGAGTTCAGAGTCACACTACAGATACCTGTCTGTAACCTTACTCCAAATAGAAAGGTAGCTCTCCTATCACTTGCTTCTACTCCCATACATTTGATGTATTGCTGTTTACACCTCATATGAATTGAGACAATTAGAAAATCAGTTTGTATTGCTGATCAAACTTCCATAAATAATAATAATAATAGGCATTTGTATAGCGCCGTCTATCTAGACAATGCTATTCCGAGGCGCACAACGCATAAAGCAACTGAAAAAACGTCAGCAAGTAAAGCTGCAACAAATATATCTTTAAAAGTTGGTTAAAGTTTCAAGTACATGTTTAAAAGAAATACCAATATGATGGCAGTAGATAACTGATCAATGAATTCTTTTATATTTTCACATTTTAATTTCCATTTCAACTTCAGTTCCCAAGGTAGGGAAATGCCAAAATTCCAATGAATAGTATCATATATATATATAAAAGGAATTAGAAATCTGAAGCAAGTACAGTACATCAAGATGTGCGTTGATATAGTTTGTATATATAATATTAGTTCAATAATACTACTATAACAATGTTTAATTTAAATTTTATACTGCTAAATATAAAGGAGAAATCAAATGCAACAGACAACCTACGCATTATAATTTATTTCACACATGCTTTGCCATGATGATGAATTAACAAGTAATGGCATGATTTTCTAACCTTTGATTTGATTGGTCAGAGAGGCGCCATAGTGAGTGAACCGGCCATTCAGGTGAAGCGTAAGGACAGGGGGACGCAGATCTGGTCTGTGGAGAAGCTAGAGAATAAGATCATTGATATGCGTGACATGTACAACGATAGGAAAGACGAAGGAATTCCTCTAAAGGTGAGACAAATTCATGGATAATAATAATCTAGCACTGAATACTAAATTCTCTTTGTGCTTTAATTTATTAAAGATAATTATGTATGTGAACATTTTTATTGAAAAATAAAGATTGGATTATCTATTAATGTTTTTTTAAAGAATTTCAGGGATTAAACCATGTTGTTTTGATGTACATTTGTATTGTAAGAGCAAAATACAAAGAACTTCTTTTGACTGGAAATAGGCAAGAAGAGATTTTAAATTGGCAATATCATGACTTTGGTTTTTATTTTTTAATATTTTTTGTGAGAGAGGGGGCAGGGTATACTGTATGTGTCCACTCTCTCAATTTTACATGTTACATTTTGTAGAAATAAAAGAAGGAAGGACTGCCGTACATGATTCACATTTTTTAACAAAATCTGACCAGCGCTTTATGTCACTGAATAGTAATACCCCAGCCACTTCAAGGCGAGAAATACCGGATCAAGAAACACCAGATCGACAAAGACAGGAGAGAAAAAATAACCAAAATATTAAAAAGATTCTGTGGATTAAAAGCAAGTTTTGGGTCGATTTAGTGGTTGTACATGTAATCCGTGTTTTTTAAATGTAAGTATGAATTCACTCTTATTTGTTAAAAACAGACTTGATATAATATATTGATTCTATTCATGTATTCCTGCTACACTTAAAAGGATGAAGAATCTGAATCACTTCGCAAGCTCTCCTTCTTTGAGTCACAGGTACACTTTCCATCTCTTACTCTTTAATTGTTCCCATCATAGATTATATCACTATGAACATGACGGACAAAGAAAGAGGACAAAATATACAGTTCCTCATTCTACCCTCAACAATTGCTGTGGTAGAACATCCCTTCACTGCTATTATGTAAAAATGTGTAGAACAGATGAATATGCATGTGACACCTGTTCTACACATTTTTACATAATAGCAGTAAAGGGATGTTGCTTTGTCTACAGCAATTGTTGAGCGTAGAATGAGGAATTGTATATTTTGTCCTCTTTCTTTGTCTGTCATGTTCATAGTTTATCCTAGTCAGACACATGTATGTACATGTAATTGTATGAGATAAAGATGGACACTGTAGATTTGTTTATTAATCTTCTTTTCTGCTATTTTGTCAAATCCTTTAGATTAATAATTTAGAAGGGCATATTTTAACTAAGCATCCTTAAGATGCATCAAGATACTTGAACAAACTTTTCATGTATTTGAGTGATTACTCTTTTTCCTACATCTATCATGTAAAGTGGTGTAGCTTAAAATCTACATATATGGATTCAAATATATTTAGCATCCTCTATAAAATGATAACCCACATCACTAAAAGGGTGAATTTATGCATCTCTGTACAGGTATTTTAGTATTTATAAATGTAGCTGTTATTATTCCAAATATACCTGTAATTAAAAAAAAAAGGGATTACATATTAAGCATGGAAAATATATATCTCTCTCTCAGAAACAGTTTCAAGATTTTATTTAGAGAGTAAAAATAAAATGGTTTCATGACTTTATTTTACTTGCCGCTGCTGGCCCATCGTTGGCTACATGTAGGACTCACTTGCGTCTCCAATGTCTCTTCTACCATTGTCATTACCACTGTTCAAGGTTTGAAATCCAGTCTTACATCCATGTCTAGTCTGCATGTTATGTTGCCTGTGTACACTGTATCATGCATTTGTAGAGACTAGAGAGTTAAGAGTAAAGTCCTTATTGATTTCTGGAAATTTCTGAGGGTTGAGACACGCAATAGATTTTGCGGAAGAGCAATTCAGATTATTTCCTATCAGAAATGTAGAGAAAAGCTTGAAAAAAACATTTGTAGAGAATAAGAAAGAAGAGAAACTTGAGGGAAGGAATATCAAAGAGAGATTTAAAAGGAGAAAAGGTTGAAATGGGGCAAGGGAAAGGCAAAAAGAAAACAAACATATTTTTTTATTCCCTCTGTAAACATGGGGGAATAAATTGAAGGACACAATTAGATAGAAATAGGATACATGTAATTCAAGAGCATAAGATAGAGCAAAGTAAAATGGTGAGGTAATCAAGTTAATTAAATCTATGTTTCAATATTGAAGAATCATGTTAACTATTCCATGATCTTCAGCTTATGGACTGTTTACCTTTGATGATGATGTTATAATGTCACTTTGCATGATTGTGATTGTATGAAACTGCTTCATTTTAATTTTTTCTAAATTGTGACTATTCAACATGCAATATATGCCTATAGCCTTGTGATCCAACATTTGATCCTGCGACATTTGCTCTGGGCAGTAAAGCGGGACGTTTAGAGAGGATAATGCTCATGTGTATTTACTCCTGACTCGGTTAAATTCAAATTGATGAAAGAATAAAAAGGGGTTCTAATATATTGGAGCTGTAAATTATAATAACAACAATAAATGCTTATGAAGCGCACTTACATGTATCTAATATCTTACTCAAGGCGCTATACAAAGCAAAATACACAAATCTTTCTCCAGAATTTAACAACATAATAGCATTAATAACTCTAAGTTAATAAAAGCTTTTTACAATGAAAGGTTACTAGGCATTGAATGTTTCGAATGTCACTGGGCAACTTGTTCAAGCGGATGGCTTATTCAATGCCTTCTAGTCTGTTAAGGATGTACTATTAAAGTTTAATAAAACTACCGGTAGTAGAATTAAGTCCACTGATTATGAAGTGCTATGTGTCATGCTATTTAATTCATACACATTAATTTGATTCTGTAACACAATGAGTACACCAAATGAATCCAGTAATGAAACAAGAATGAGAAAAGCAATTTCAAAATTTGTTTCTTCTTGTAGTTACAGAATTAATATTAGTTTATGGGATGCAGAGATTAACATGTGGCTCTCCATAAATTAGTGAACTAACTACTATTTTAGTCGAGGTTTTAAATTAAACATGGATGCTGTTATGAATACAGTCAAATGTACTGTGTACATGTCTGTAACTACACAACCGGAGGCATGAAATTTAAAGACACATTTATAGATATTGTGATAAATGTTTGCTGACTTGTATTTATTCTGTTCATGCACAAGCTGTACTAGTCAAAATCATGTAGTCGTTTATTGATAGCTGTGTGTTTATACCATCATGTAGTTCACAGGATTTTGTTCACTTCATTACAATGAAGAATGCATGTAAATCTTTGTAAAACCACATTTATTTATGTAGAATGAGTTGAACAAGCAAAGAATATTTGTTAACATTACTCTTGTATTTTCTTCCTTTCCTTTTAATTTGTTTTCAAACATTATAAATGTAGCTGACAGTGTCTTTCTCTGATTACATGTACATGCTTTAAACCTGTTGCCAGTAGCATACTGAATAAAAGGGCTCCACACAAACTTTCTTTCTAGACGGTCCGCGTTGATTTAAGGGCTGTATCCATCCCTACCCCACCCCCACCCTCCCAAGCATAATTATAACATTTTTGGGCCTGAAGTTGGAACATGGGAACCCACTAATACCAGGCACCTGTTAAGGTCGAGCCCTGTTTGATTAAGTTTGTATCTCTTGAAAATCAATAGCCTTTCATGCATGTGTGTGAATCAAATTACTTTAGCTCTGCATTGTGTTGAATGCACTATTTCCATGTATTGTTTATATTGTTTACTTCTTTATAATGCAACATTTTTTTAGTTCTTAACTTTGTATAAATTTGCTTATTGTATTTCTTTAGTGCATAGATACTTCTTTACATTCTATTTTGTATGGCAATTCAATTTTGTATTCCAATGTAGTCTTTTCGTCCCAGTAATAACGCAATGTATATTCTTCCAGAATCTAAAGTAAGATTTCCCTATTCCGGATTGAAATAAGCAAACATCTCCTGAATAAATTTACCATTAAGAGAAGATGTTTGAAAGGTGAGTAATCAGCCAAAAAACATGCGAAATTTGGTCGATCACGTATATGTGGATCACTAGAATATGCAGTCCCATTTTCGCATGTATTTTCATTGTAAATTATTATGAACGAGTTTGAAGAATATTTTATACCCGAGTGTTAAACAGATTAGAATGACATTCACCTAATTTCTCTACCATTGCTCATCTTTTTGTTTCAATTAACAATCATACTTTGTTTCTGATCTCTAACTCATTTAATTTTCTACATTTCTTACCCATGGCATTCCTCAAAAGGACCAGAATTTGACCGTTCCTGTTCCAAGCAATGCTCAGACCCCCTCTCCAGCATCAGAGGTGACCTTTGACCTTTATATTTGACCTCTCATTTGACCCCTAGTGTTGCTGTGTTACCTGCACCCATCCTGTAGATGCATGCACCTGCCCTGTTGTAGTCCCACTCATCCGCTTTCCAGTTTCCTTTATGTCTGTCTGTCTTGTTGACAATCAACTCAATTGCATTTCTTGATGGTTTTCCTCTATGTTATACATGTACAATGTTATGAATACTGTACCACAGTACTAATGTACAGTGTACCCTGCTGCTGTGAGTGGCATGTACTTTAATTTCCTTTTGCAAAGGACATACTTACACAGCCTTCAAGGTTGGCTAAATGCAAATGCATCTCTTTCTTACTCTATGTAAAGATCTTACTTGTTTTTATTACTCATATCAACTTTATAAACTCTTGGGCGACTTTTAGAAAATTTAGAAAGTGTCACAGTAAATGATATGCATTGTTCAAATTCAAAAAGAGCAATTTAATTGATATAATCTTTTGTGCAGATTATTGATTACTAAAGCAAATGAAATAAATGATTAAATAAATAAATGAGCGTACACGTGACCAGTCATTTATTTTGCCTAACACGTAGTTTTTGATAATGACCGGTCATTATCAAATGCTAATGACTTGTCATTAGTCAAATCATGTTATAAAACATCATTTTATGAAACAAATAAAACATAATCTTATAAAACAAAAAATACACATCATTTTGTTCGGCATTAGTAACATTACCCACACTCGGTACCTTCAAAACACCCTCGGCTATCGTCTGTGGCGTGTTAGACTGTTCCAAAGGTACCTGGTGTGGGTAATTCTTACTAATGCCCTCACTGCTGTGTATTATTTGTATAATATAGAATGTGTACTAACTTTGTGTGTTATCCATGAACACCAGGTATAACCATTGTGGCATTTGGTTGTAATGTATGATTTATTGCACCTTTTACAATTCACATTTATCCAGCCTTGCTCAGGCATTAGTGGTGTGATAGCAAGAAAAATCCTCAGTTAAAGCAAATGAGATCAAACAGTGTAATGCCCTTCATACAAGTATGAGTATGCAAGAGACATTCATGTTTTTCGTTAAATTTTAAAGTTAAAGTTTTTTGTTAAATTAAGTGTTGCCATTCATTAACATGTCAAGGCATCTTTGAGGCAGTGTACCATGTCGTCATATTTTCAATGAGGCTTAATATGTCCCATGATTTGTTGAACATCAGGTGCTTCCATGTGGACATTTGTTGTGATGTACGATATATATTGTTTTTTGCTTTCCAAGTTTTACACATGCCTGTACTCTTGTCCTTGTTCTCACACACCATCATCCTACAGTCACATGTGTGCACAGATCGACGTGACCCATGCCTTCTTACATGATGCTAGGTCAGGGGTGGCAACATTTTCCCACATGTCTGCTTTATGTTCAGATGCTTAAGTCTGATTTATAGGACTTTAAATGTGAACATTCCTTTCGTTGACTATACCAAATGCATACCTGCCAACTGTTCTTATTTAATCAGAATATTCTGATTTTCTGAATTTTTATAACCTACAAATTCTGAATATTCAGATTTTTGAAAATGGACACTTGTATTTGGTTTTTGTACAGATTAACCGCGTATTGCCAATCACACTGCCGGTGCATATATGGCCATGGTAAGGGCGTGCGATCGCCTGTTAAGGGTACAGATTTCTTATTTTCAAATTATGGCAGGTATGCAAATGCCATACATGTACATGTACATGAACATTATCTCATATATACAGTTGAGCTTCTGCATTGTTTTAATTTGCAGTCTAAACCTAAAACAAATTGTTTTTCAGCCCCTTTAACTGTACAAAATCTACTTTTGTACCAGAGCACTGTTTGTCAAGCTCTATTTTGTTATTTCAGAATGGAAACCCTTCATAAAACAGACTGTTTTCTATCATGAAAACATCTTTAAAACATGCTTCTTTTTTTGGTGTAATTTTGTCAACTATTTTAGGATGAGGATCCATTCTACGAATCCCAAGAAAATCACAGCCTCATCGGGGTTGCTAACGTCTTCCTAGAAGTATTATTCCATGATGTAAAACTCAACTATGGTGTACCAATCATCAGCCAGCAAGGAGAGGTATGGATATTTCTTGAAATATCAATTATATTACTTAAGCTTATTCATCATGCAAAAGCCAGTAAATCAGTACTCCCTGAAGTACTTCCATGATGTGAAACTTAACTATGGTGTACCAGTCATTAAGTCAACCAAACCACCATTTTAATGTGCAGCTATGTGTGATATTAATATTACAACAACGAGATTCTTGGAGAAGAATACCTCTGCTATTTTACAACAAACTAAATTTTTCCTTGATTTCCTCTAGGATTTTCTGATATCCATTTTTTATAAAGCCGATATGTTTGCCTAAATGCCTAAATAATGCAGTACAAATCGAGAAATTTTCAAAATCAAAAGAGGACGCAGTGGTCAGTTTTCTTCAAATGGCGAATTGCTGGATATGTTTGGTCATACAGCCATACCAATAAATTAGGCTACCATATGGAAAAGTAATTGCCTGCCAAGAGACCTAAGAGCATAGGCATCAATATCTTTGTCAATAGGATATTAGTTTAACGCTTTTGGAACAGGACATATCAAATAAGAATCTCAGGAGAGTGGCATAACAAGTGCTTCATTAGGGGGAAGGGTGGCTGTCAGTGTATGGTTGGTCAGATTACAACATGTATGAGATACAATCTGGTGGGAATATTTGGTTTAGATCTTGAGAATTAATTACTCTTTTCTCCTTCAAACAGGTTGCTGGGAAACTTAACATAGAGATCCAGAGGATAAGCGGGTCTATACCAGATGTGAATGCCGACCAGGAGTCCACCACCTCCAACGGTAGTTCAGGGGGGTCAGAAGAACCGGAAGAACCGGACCCTGAGGGTAGTCTAGCGGTAGGAGCACCTCTCACATGCAGGGTAAGTATTCTCTCTTCTTTCCTCAGTTGCATGGTCTGGGTTCAGCTGTTTAAAGTGACTCTGTAACATTGCCTCAGATTCTTAAACAAAATCCTGGATTTAGCTCATGCTGCAATCATAATTATAAACCGTTAGGTCAGTCAGGAATCCCATGACTTTTACAAGCTGATCGCCTGTCTGATTATCAAGATATTTATGATTGGAAATCGAAATTTCATTTTTTTTTTTTTTTTTCCAAACTGTTTTTATAACACTATAGTCTATTGGGGGAAATAAGTATGCTCATTTTGAAGCGCAACTTTTGTAGGGCTTCAATATAACACACATCACAGGCACTGGTAACACGTAGGGCCATGCATCTCAGATTGCACATTGTTAAATGATGCCTTTAAGGGGCTCTGACATCATGGAGGTTGGGTGGGGGGGGGGGGGGGTTCATAGTGGATAGTGGATGAAATGCAAATTAAGAAGGCCATGCATCCTATCCACTTAAAAGTTAATAAGATATTTTTTGGAATTGTGTTTACCGGTATCAATATTGTAATTGCTTATTTCTATTTGTAAATTCAGTTGTAAATTTACACCAATGAAAAACAAATTTCAGAATGAGCTATAAATACTTCTTTTTCAATTTTAATTTCATTGATTGGGGTGTGACAGAGCGTCCTATCATCTTTTCATGTTGTCTATGGTTTGGGTTAATATGGTTTTTAGTACAATGTTCTTTATATCATGTAATGTTATTGATCCGTATCCAAAGTCAGTTCATGTACACCATGTTAAGAAACCTAATTCGACTATCTTCCATCTTCTTATCCACAGTTAAAAATCAAAGAAGCGTACGATCTACCCCTGAGTCTAGCACATTTTGTCTTCTGCCAGTATACCTTTTTTGCTAAGGATGGTCCTACTGTAGTCCCACCCTATATCAATCCTGATGTGGATGATGAGCCTGGAAGGGGACCAGAAGCTATGAAGGGAGTCATGAAGTTCAACCATACCAAGGTACAAACACTGGATTACTTTTAATCTGTTGCTAATTTGAGTCTGATTTGTTACAGGCACAGTAATATATGGTCACAGAAAACATTTTATTGCTGTGTGTTTGTATGAATACAGAATTTTGACACTATACTTTTCTTGTGATCTACTTTACATCAAAAATACTTTCACAATTCAGTTAAAATTCCAACCGTGTAAAGGTGAATATTGCAAGAAAAAAGTGTAACTTGTTATTGTTAAATTAATGATATCGTAAATTATTTAGTTTGTGGTAAAAATGTTCTCAATTTTGGAACATTTGTACGAAGTAACAAAAAATACATGAACTGTCAAGTATTCTTCAATACAGAGGAACCTATTAGTATTTGCCTTGTATGAGAAACACATGTGAAAGTCAGACATCCATGTTCAATGTTACGAAAAGACCAAGAGGCAAGAAATTCGAAATAACAATTATCTTTAGTTATTCTTGTCTCTCTTCAAAGACATTACTGAATGATCTTACTCACATATTCAAATACGTATTTATAAAGGTATGTATGACTTCTTCTTATCTCCTGTAGGAATTCACAGTGAACGTGACGGAGGAGTTCATAGAGCACGCCCTCGAGGGGTCACTAGCCGTCGAGGTCTGGGGTCATAGGGTTGGCAACCACGGCCTCGTTTCCAAACCTGGCTGGGAGATCGACAGCCTGCATTCCAAGTCCAGATCGCTGGCCGATCGGTAAGAGTTTGGCAGAAGGGTTGCACGATACTTACTCCTGGGACACTTGCCCCGCAGTCATTTTCATAAGCCGAATTTCTAATTTCACCCTTGGACCCAACATTATATCTACCAGTAAATGTAACCCTAATCTTTTTCCTTATCCTAAAACTAACCATAAACCTATCATAAAACCAAATTGCAACTCTTACCCTAAACCTAAAAGACAACTGAAACCCTATACAGAAGCCGGGGGTTTTTGTTGCCAGAAAAAATTTCAGATCAATGTTCCGTCCATTCTTGAACCATCATTATGTACTGTGTCTTTTTCAATGTTTGCTTTGTGTTTCTTTGTTGAAACCCTGTTTAAATTTATGATGTTTTGCTTGCATGTCGGTAAACTGTGTATTGCATCTTGTGAAAAGATTTCTTACATGCATGTACCCATTTCATTGTATACCCTTTGCTTGCCAAATGCCCCTATGCATAAAGAGTTATTGTTAGTCTTCATTTACAATTGATTTGAATGTTATGTGCTTCCAAATTTGGAAAAGGAAATAGAAATCGCACAATATCATATACGTCAAATTACATTAAGTTCCTTCATGAACAGGTATTTATATATCAAGTGATCTTTTGAAGGTGACATGACAAGTTATATGATTGAACACATATCTAACACCAAGTATCTCAAGACCCACCCTCTCAATTTTTTTTTTAAATTAATTTCCAAATGATAACCTATATAGACGATGAAAGCATAGAAAATTGATAACAATACAGAAAAAAGAACAAGTGCAACAGCCAATGCCTGGGTATCCCCCAAAAGATAAAAATGTCAATTTCTGTTAAAGGGTTCTCCTCTTTGGTTTTTGAAGAAAAAAGGTTACCCCATCCTAACTGCACCCCCCCCAAAAAAAATGCATAGAAAATACGAGATTAAAGAACAGAATGTGGCAGAACGGGGGGGGGGGGGGGGGGGGGGGATCAGTTAGATTGCTCAAGATGATTGTACTATAGGAGGCATATAGAAAGATAAGTTCAGTGTAACACATTCACGAATAGTCTCACAGAAGTATCAATACAAAAGTCAGCTAAGTTAGGATTGATCATAACTCTTTATGCCTTGGGGGGGGGGGGCCCTTAAATCATTCCCTCTTGACCTGCATTCATATGTCCCTATCTTATGTGTTAATGTTTTGTCCATTCCTGCATGATTTCTCAATTTAATAGACCAGTGGCGGAGTATGAAAGTTTTGGGTAAGTATTGAATGAGTTGATTAGCACAGATGTCTAAGTTTGACACCAGCACTAAGACAATGGCATGCGAGTGATGTGGGTACTAACGCTGCAATTCCAACTCATTTATGTGCATAGATATCTCCAAGTACTTTTACATGTATATTCTTAGAGGTAGTGATACCAGTTTTAGTAGAATTCAGTAGTTGTGTTTTAAAAAAGAAAGAATAAATATATAGTGTACCAGTAGTTATTTACGGATTTCATGACATCAGTTATTCATGTACTCCAAAATGTACATTGACTTAACATTTTAGGAGTTGTTAAAATTACGATTTCCACTAATTCACTTTGGGAAATAATCATCTAAAGTTAGCTTGAAGCATTGCTGCTACTCACTTATTTATTTTTTTAATGTAAATTTTGATGTGTTACTACTGTACAGAAATAAGGGAAAAAAGACAATTTGCGATGAGAGTAGAAATAATGTTTTGTGGTGGAAATGTGAATTCATGTGTTTTAATTTTCTGGGAATCCATGACTTCTAATCCATCCTCTAACTGATTCTCAGACTCAATTTACACTAGAAATATCGACACCTTGAACTGTGGAGAAACATCTTTTCTTCAGAACAAAAACCCTGGCATTAGTTTGTGAATATATTAACCTGTAGTCTTTGTTGTTGTGACAGACTTATCATAATATATACCTAGGAGATAATACTGTAGTTTCTAGGTAGTACACATTATCCACTCTCCAATTTAATGTATCGCAGCCATTAGTGCTTCAATGCACAAATAAAGCTATGAAGCTCAGAAGGTATACATGTACACTACACATGCACTAACACCAGTATACTGCAGATATCTCTCTATATTGCATAATGATACACTGTAGATGCAGATACACTGTAGGGTTCTTGCTATATCAACTTTGGCTAATCTTGTCCATTTACAGTGTGCATAATCTTCAAAATGAGTACACTATACATGTAAATGTAGATGCGGATATAGTTCTTGCCGTAAAATTTATTTGGCTAATTTTGTAGATTTGCAGTGGGCACAATGCTTTGTAATGAATCAACGACACAAGCTATTCAATATCACAAAGTGCAGTTGAATGGAAAATATATTGCACAATAATGTGTGTGAATATTTTTAGTGTTACTTGCAAGGGGAAATGCTTTTTGTTTTTACACGCAGAGAAGTGAAGTTGTTGAAAAAGCCCACAAAGTAGATAAATATTCTTCCCAAGATAATTGGATTAATATTCTTTCCAAAAAAATGAGTTTCTATTTACACTGTAGATTGGGATTCTGTTAATAATATGACATGAAGTTTTCATATATTGAAATGTCATTATTATATATTTTTATTGTAAAAAGAGACAAACAAACAAAATTTAAAAGAAATTCTCTATCAAGAAAATGACCATACTGAATAAATTAGGTGTAATATGTTATACAGTCAAACCTGTCTATATCAATCGCCCAAGGGAAACACAAAAAGTGGTCTTTGTAGACAGGTTCCTTTAGTACATGTTTCAATGAGAAACCATTTTCAAGGGAAACAAAAAATGTGCTTGCTGTAGACAGGTGGTCTTTGTAGACAAGTGGTCACTAAAGCAGGTTTGACTGTATTAGATTAGCTGTTTGGAAAATTTCTCAGTTGATTATATTGGATATCTGTCTCTCTAGATGGACTGAACTGATCAGGAAGATAGAGCTCTGGGTTGAGATACATGAGTTGAATGAGCAAGGGGAGTATGTACCTGTTGAGTGTCATACCAAGCCTGAGGTTCTTACTGGAGGCATCTTCCAAATCAGACAGGTAAGTCAAAGAATCTTTAAAGCAGGACTGCACTACTTGTAGCTACTTGCACCCTCTGTATATCAAACAATGCCTAAGCGGTACCCGTTGGTCCCCCATGATCCCCTTTTTCTTATGGTAATTGAGAGCTGATTTGATGAGATAACCACCTGTCAGTGACCATGCAGGAAGGTCTAATCCCTCCTAGCCAAACTTGTGCAGACAGGCTTTAAGATGTCACCACATATTCACAAACATCATCAATTTTATAAAGACGGAATAATGGATTTAGATTTTTTTTTAATTATGGAGGAGCTAGTTTTGTTGTCTGCCATGCTCATACATAACTAATTTGATGAATACATCTTGAGTATTGATTCTGATACTGTCCATAATCACTCTGCAATGGTCTTCCATTGTATATTGAATTATCCTTAATCTAATGTGCAATGGTGCAATGGTGCAATGGATAACTGAGAGAGAAATATGAATCACATAGAAGAGATATGTGAGATTACTGCTTTGACAGTTAATCACATTTTTGGTTAGTTTTCAATATATGCCTGTACACTCATATATCTCCTCTTGTTCATCTATAGAGTGGTCAAGTGTGATGTCATCAAAAAACTTTGAATAGGAAATAATTGTGATTTCAATAGTAAATCTATTTATTTGAATGGTCATATCTCATCCAATACTGAACCTATTCAATTGGTTTCCAACATTTGGACATTATTTTTTATGCTCTTTTGGAAAACGAAGTTCAAATTGAGAATTTTAAAATTGATTTTTATGACGTCACAGCTTCAGTACTCTATAGTAAGAGCTCAGTTCATCAGAAACTTCATGATAAATGAGTAAGGTAAATATGTATGAACATTCTTTATTTTGCAGGGTCACTCTCGTAGGATACTGGTAAGGGTCAAACCTGTCCAGAACTCTGGGACGTTACCAATCATCTGTGAAGCCATCACGTCTATCTCTGTGGGTAGCATCTGCGCTCGCTCCAAACTGCAGAAGGGTCTAGATAGTTACCAAGACGACGACCTGACCCGTCTGAGGGAGAGATGGTCGGATGCACTGATGAGGAGGAGAGAGTACCTGGATGAACAGATTCATAAGATCATGCATAAACCAGGTAATTAGGAGGGTTTATTGGGGGTGAGATGGGGGCTGGTAGATAGAGGGCTGGTAGATAGAGGGTAATTTGGGGAGGGGGGCAGCTGAAGAAGAGAGTACCTTGATGAGCATATTCATAAGATCATGCATAAACCAGGTAAATAGATGTACCGGTAGTAAGAGTGGTGGATGGGGAGATCAGTGAAAGAGGGAAGAAATGAGGGGTTGCAAATAAGTTATAATTAAAACATCAGAGAATAAACATGTCACAGAATTATAGAAACCAAGATGAGTTTGTATGCATTTTTTATCTATGAATATCCACTTTATCCTTTTTAATCGCCTTATAACCCCCCCCCCCCCCTTCTTGATGTTTCTGTGCCTAAACCCCTACCGTTGAAAGTTTTCATGTCATCTTCCGGGAGCCAGAATTGCTTAAGATCTTTGTAAAACTATGAATTATATGAATTTTATTTTGGGGGGGATGGGGGGGGGGGGGCTCTCAATGGATGATATGTAAATCGCTTGGTACAAGAAAAGTACATTTTTGAAGAAAAGAAATTAAAACAACGATAACAGACATTGTTGTAATGCAGATCAACAGTTTTATACTCTTTTCTCTCCTTGATCCTACAGGGAGAACGCAGAAGGATAATGAAAGAGAAGCAAGCCTTATCAACCAGTGGGTCTCACTCACAGAGGAGAGGAACGCCGTCTTGGTCCCCGCCCCTGAGAGTGGGGTACCGGGGCACCTGCCAACTGGGCCCCTCCCCCAGGCATGGAGACACATAAACCAGTACTATTTCTTGATATTGAAAGTGAGTTGATTAATTTCATTTTGTCTTATTGTTGAAGAGGTTTTTTTTTTGTTTAATTTTAAGAGATATAATTTAATAATAGACAGCTGCATTTATTGTAGAACATGGAACTTCAAACATTTACATTGTATGGCAGTAAACATTTCATCATAAGTTTTCAAAATGCTTCTCCTCTACCGCATACATTATCATGAAACATTGTCATACATGCACTTATTTGTTTCTTACTAATGTTGTTTTCCTATTATTCCTAGCAATACACAATGACAGATACATGCACATTGTAACCATGTCCATTAGGACTTGTATTATTCTTACCAGTAGGCATTAAGGGACATAAAAGGAACAAATTAACTCTTCGTTTTACTTCAAAAGTTTTTGCGGGTGGCACAAAATTATCTTGCATGTTGCATAGGGCTCTTGGGCTGCTATTCAAGAACAAGGGGCCGAGCCTAGAGAATTGAATCTACTATGTGCAGTGAAAGTGATCTATGCTCTATTTCTTGGTATCGCCAACATGATAATCTTGTTCTCTATTTGTCAGCTGATGAGATGGGTACATCAGGTTTATTAGAAGGAATCCATGCGGCTGGTTTCAACTCCATTCTACCGAAGGAACTAGGTACCAAGATGGTCAATCTACCCATTATCAAGTACTATGAGAAAGATGTAAGTTACTCCCAAAGACTAAGATTTCTCTTTTTGGCGATATTTTTGTGTGTGTTTCAATATCATTGTTTTAACCCTCATGATTATTAACAAAGGAAGTAATAGTACATACACTCGTATAGATACTACACAAAGTATATAAAAGTAGAAAAGAGAAAAACCCAGGTCATGTTTTATTCCTAACAATGCAGGGCTAATACTTCATATTATTCATAATGGAATACGTGATACGTGATATATAGTTTACAAAAATATTAATGGACACGCTTGGGGTCACAGGGGTGTTAACTCCATGTCAAAGTAATATGGATCAATGCCATTGTGGCTAAAAACAGAAGATGTTACATAAACTATTATTGTTATTATTAGTTATTTTACTGATATGATTCAAAGACTTCAGAATTTGGCTTCATGTTGATACACCTATAGAATGCCAGTTTAAGTTTTTTTAGGTTGATTTTTTTTCTTCAGGTGATTGGTACACATTGAAATGATAAGGGACACTTCATTTATACATAGCAGAGTAGTTTCTTATACTAGCTGGGTTACATAATTTGATATTACTATGACTACACTGTGTTTTGAGTTCGGAGATCATATTTTTGTAATTCCTCATTGTTGTTGATATTTTATCATTTCGTGTTAATGGCACTCTATTGTTTGTGTGGCTTTGCATACACTTTGAACTTTATATTATCAAGCTGTATTCACCCTCTCTCTGCCGAATGTCCACCTATAGGTGTGTGCCTGTGCGTCCTGGGATTCTTCCCTCCACGACTCACCGTACCTCAACCGCAACACCAACCCAAACGAGCGCATCTATCTCATCGTCAAGGCGGTGGTGCAACTCAGTCACCCGGCAACCATGGAACTGGTCGTTAGAAAACGCATCTGTGTCAACATCTACAAGAAGCAGGGCTTTGCAACGGCATTCAGGAGAAGGCTTGGCAAAGGGGTATGTTGCATTAAAGATGAGGTTCTATCAATTTTTTATTTGATTTGATTTGATTCATTTATTTATTATGTTTGATTTTTTTTTTCTTTTGCAGTTTTACAAATATGTAACAAACGAAACATTGCAAATTTTACACAATCATGACAAAAGAATATATGTAGAATAAAGTGAGACTGGCTGTAAATCATCGCAAACATCAAACAGGAGGTTTGACAAAGTAAGCAAAGTTTGATAGCATGACTACCCTCAATGGATACATAATAGTACAAATATGGAGGAAAAAATATTGGTAAAAGGGAAAAAAAAGAGAGAGAGAGAGAAAAAAAAAAAATAGGGGGTGTAAATCAAGTTTTACAGATGTATGTAGTAGTTGGATTTCAATTTGATATTTAAAGATTTTAAAAAAGATGCACATTTAAATATTGGGTGGCCAACTTGGGATATATTACAAAGTGTATTTGGAAAAATACAGTGAAACCTGTGAATAAAGGCCATAAATTCTTAATTTAAAGCTAGAAAATCAGATTTATTTTTTAGCTGACAAGTTTGCGCAGGGAAGGGGGGGTCATTTTATTGCTTGCCCTCTAGAGATATAGGGTAGTCCCATATACATCTTTCTGTGTATAGTGCTTGTAACTTTACGAAGAATGGGCCAAATTTCTTATCATTTTGTTGATGATTCCAGAACCTTTTCTGATCGATTCCACAACGTTTCTTTCACAATGCAATCGCATGACCATAACTGGTCTTTACCTTTAAGAGATGTAAGTTTACAATTGATTGGAGGAATTATAATCAATCTAGAACAATCACAACTCTTTACAAGAGTCCAAGAATAGCAGTCTTCATAAGTATTAGATGGTCTGTATTTACAGGTTACCGGTTACAGGTTATATAACTCTCACCAAGAAATACGATATTGATATTTTCTTCACACATTTTTTCTTTCAGGACACTGTCCATTCTTGCGGTGTGACGTACGAGATTGTATCAAACATTCCAAAGGTAAATATTTAGTGATTTAGAAGTTGTTTTAACAGGACTGATTGCAAATAAATGAATCTTAAAACTTGATTGTTTCAATACATCTTCTTTTATTCTTAAAAATATTGTTCCTACTTCTTGCTCTATAATGGGACTGGTTAATAGTACTCTTTTGGTACCCCTTTTCCCTTGTTCAGCTGAGGAATGTGAAATTTTTTCTACTGTATTTTTTGTGAAAAGGAAGGGATTTGGTGCAGTTGAGAACTTCAAAAGAGTTTTGTCTTGTCCAGGTTTATGTGGGCAGATTTATTCAACTGAAGTATGAAGCACTAAATACCAACATTAATATTTTTGGGGAAATCATATTCTGAGCAAAGAAACATGATTTCATTATGAATTTATGTTATATTTTCAATTCATGACTTGACTTCAGTTTAACTTTTATTAAAGGCACTCTGTCCTACTTGTAGCTACTTGCTCCCTCTATATAAAAAAACTTCCCAATCGGTGCCTGCTGGTCCCCCATGATCCTCTTTTTCTTATGTTAAATGAGAGCTGAGTTAATGAGATAGCCACCTGTCACAGTGACCTCGCTGGCTCGCTGTGTGGTATAATCCCTTCTGGCTGAAATAGTAAAGCCTCCCTTTAAGACTTTCGGTAATTTGTGTGGAATAAAGACCTACACACTTGGCTCTCCATAGTTCAGTGGACTATGTTAAACCAGGTTCAACTTAATGCATCGTTTAACAATGTTAAATCTGAGATGCATGGCCCTACGTGTTATCAGTGTCTTTGATATGGTGTAATATTGAACCCTAAACAAATTGTGCTTCAAAATGATCATGAAGTGCCTCCAAAAAGTAAAAATCTTTGAGTGACCAGTTTTACCATTCTCGTTTTCCCCAATAGACTGTAGTGTTATAAAAACTGTAAGAATAACAAAAAATTAAATTTCGATTTCCAATCATAAATATCTTGATAATCAGACAGGCAATTGGCTTGTAAAAGTCATTGGATTCTTGACTGACCTAAGAATCTGAGGCAAAATTACCCAATCCCTTTAAATCTCTGACAGGCATCAGAAGATCCTGAAGACCGGGAATCCTTAGCATTGATGGCCGCAGCCGGGGCGGAAGAGAACGGCAGTACCGGGGACGGAGAGACCTACATCGAGAAGTACACACGAGGCGTCTCGGCTGTAGAGAGTATCCTAGCACTCGATAGGTTACGACAGGAGGTCATTATCAAGGAGAAGTTGGCCAGTAGGGGGCGCAATTTGAGGAAGACGTCCAGTGTACCAAACATACCTGTAAGTACCGGTATTCTTTTGTAATCATGTTATCTAATTTATGATATAATTCTTATTTATAATGATTATAGTTTGATGTAGAGTTGTAGTCATCATGGCCCGAATTCACAAAGAAGGTTTGTCGACAAACCAAGGTTTATGTACGTCATATGACGCGTTTTGACGCGTTTTTTACAAACCTGGATTGTAAAAAACAAAAGGAGGTTCGTCGACAAACCTCCTTTGTGAATTCGGCCCATTAAGTTTTGCAACCCAACTGCTAAATCTTTCTCCCCCCCCCCCCCCCCCCCCCCCAAGTTTGATTATTGCCCAATATACCTTGTCGTTATTCCTTCCATCTTTCCTCATTATCATTCGATCCAAGTCTGCCTTCACTCTTCTCTCCTGCTATCTCTCCCTGTCTTTTCCTCTTCTCTCTGTATATATTCTCTCTCTCCTTCTCTCTTTCTCTCTTTCTCTTTCTCTTTCTCTCTCTCTCTCTCTCTCTCTCTCTCTCTCTTTCCCTCTCTCTATCTCTCCCACTCTCCCCCGCCAATGTAATCACTTTTCCTGGTGTTTTACAGTCCAATGTCTATTCACATAACGATACAAAGTCCCCCGTCCTTTTTAAACAATACCCCTTTTTTGTTTGATCCTAATAATGTATGGGCTTGTCCTTATCTCTAACCTATGTACATGAATATAAAGAACAGATTAATGGTAGACTGATTTTATGGAAATTTGAATACCTTTCCTTATTATTGAATTATAGCCAGTATTCTACTATTCAAATAAAGATGTAAGTTTAGTTAACTTCTTAATTTCTTTTTCAAACGCTTATATATTTTTTGTTCACATCTATATATCTATTTTAAGATAATCAAAAGCCAAGACTATATTCTTTCATGATCACTGTTTACTTTCAACAGCTGTTGTATGCATTACTGTTATGCATATAGTAGCTGTTGATTCATGTAATTAACATGAATCTTTTTCATGCTGTGCTTCATACAATATATGTGCATGATGCATATATACATATAACATGAATACTCTTTCATTATCACATATCCTAACCGAAAGAAAAAGAATGAAACATTTGGCTTTCATTTATTACAGTTTTGTTTGCATTTTGATATCACGATGAAACAATGAGATGTAAATATTCTCTGTTTTGACAGGTAGGCTGCACTGTTAATACAGTTACATACTCATGTCACAACTACATTGAATTTCTGTTCTACTACATTGCCTTGCTAATACTAGCATGGTATCATTAACTTGCTAGTATACAGAATGTGATATGCCAAAATGAAGAAAAAAAAATGTCTTTTGACCTTCAATAACACTAATATGCATGGAAATTATGTTTAGTATATATATATATATATATATATATATATGAATAGCCCATCACTTTTGCACATGTTTACAGTATAACATTTTCAGAAAATGTAGTATTAAAAAGAAAGAATGTGTTATGTTTAATTTAATTTTTTTTTCAATTACCAGAATAAGATGAAGAAACAAGCAACCTAGAGTTTGGGATTATTGCTCATGTTTGTTTCTTCCATTGTAGGATTTCAAAGTCTCTTTTTTTCTTCTTAATTTCGCTAAATTTTAGCTTTTAAAAAAAAATTGAGATGCATCAGCCATGTTTTGGGGTTCAATCAAATATTTCAACGTACAATGTTCATTCATATTTCGTCATTCATATTACATCCATGTCTGTCACCTTATGTTTTTCATCACGATTCATCATACTCCATTGCTATCCCATCATACCATGCAGGGCTCCATTTCACGCAACCTTGATATGAGTCGATCCATGGACTGCCTCGACGAAGATTTCAGGGTAGGCACATCGTTCACTCTTTATACCTACCTCGTTTGTTTGTTTTTTATTTTGCTCATCAAATTGAACACGAGTAATTCCATAAATTAGGGACCCACTTCGTTAAATTTTTGATGTCCCACTTACATAAGGTACCCACACATATTTGTGGCTCTGAGTAAAGACTCAAATAGCGGAGTGAGATTGTAAAGTCATTTCCAAGCATAATATTGCATCCTCATACCTAGAATAACTTAAAGGTAAAGACCAGTTATGGTCATGCGATTGCATTGTGAAAGAAATGTTGTGGAATCGATCAGAAAAGGTTGATCATCTAGCATCTAGCATCTGCAAGGTTCTGGAATCATCAAAATGATAAAAAATTTTGGCCCATTCTTGGTAAAGTTACAAGCACTATACACAGAAAGATGTATATGGGACTACCCTATATCTCTCACAGACCATGAGAGAAACAAATTTACCAAATATATGAATTAGTAGGCCGTTCCCGGCATTTTTTTATCATCATGTATTAGTCAAAACATATTCTTTCACATGATTGGTAATGAGAGCTTCCATTTCATTTTTTGAAATTGGGGCATTTCCAATACTGGTCTTTACCTTTAACAATCTCACTCCCACTATTTAAGTCTTTACTCAGAGCGACAAATATGTGTGGGTCCGTTATGTAAGTGGGACACCAAAAATGTCACAAAGTGGGTCCCTAATTTAAGGAATTACCCACGTATACATGTACATCCGTTGACATAAATGTAGAAGTGATAGTAATAATGGCTATATAGCTCTATTGGGCGCTTATGATAATGAATTGGGCCCTGTTTCATAAAAACTTAGGATCATTAAAGGTAAAGACCAGTATTGGAAACGCCCCAATTTCAAAAAATGAAATGGAAGCTCTCATTACCAATCATGTGAAAGAATATGTTTTGACTAATACATGATGATAAAAAATTTGCCGGGAAACCGCCTACTAATTCATATATTCGGTAAATTTGTTGCTCTCATGGTCTGTGAGAGATATAGGGTAGTCCCATATACATCTTTCTGTGTATAGTGCTTGTAACTTTACCAAGAATGGGCCAAATTTCTTATCATTTTGATGATTCCAGAACCTTGCAGATGCTAGATGCTAGATGATCAACCTTTTCTGATCGATTCCACAACGTTTCTTTCACAATGCAATCGCTTGACCATAACTGGTCTTTACCTTTAACAAGTTACAATAGCTGTTATTAGCTACTGAAATTGTGGCATTTGATTGGTTGAGAGCAAATTTGTCATAGAACTTTGATATTGATAACAAGTTAGTCTCCCAGGGGTTTAGTAGAAAGAATACTGCTTTCCTCTGTAGGTAGGATAATTTTGTTATAGTTAATCTTTTTATTTTTTATTAATCAGAACCAAAATTATAACTTTTTAAAAGGATTTAAGCTTTAATTTTGCAAACAGTCTGCATTCCGTATGGATGTCTCGTTTTGATTCTTTTTTCCTTTTTCAGAATTTTATCGCCATTAGTCAGTCAGCTAAGCTTATTGTATCTAAATGTTTTATATATACATTTGTACAAGTGCAAAGCAGCTAGATCTCTTGAGATTCTTGTCTATCTCCCTCAATAGTCTATTTCCATGTTATCTAACTAAATGAATAGCTATTGTCACTATTTAAATCTGGTTTGAAGGGCACTGTTACTTTGAAGTGGGAAAAATGGACTTTGCTTTTGGACTTTTTTTAGAGCTTTATCTGTTTCATATGATTTCTAATGGCTCTTTACTCTTTGTTTCCAATCTCTTTCCTAAATTAACACATGATGGCAAATTGGTCTGTTGGGTGATACATGTATTATTATACACTGTTTGAATTTTATTGTTAATATTGGATGTTACATGATATTGTGGGAATGCTATTATATCTGGTACCATTTTCATATCCATATATTTTGTAATATTGTCAATTATTGCACCCACCATGTACATTTCATTTATATGTTATATGTTTGTTGATTTAAATGATTTTGTGATCTATATGTATTTACTGTTGTGATTTGTTGTTGTATTTTTTATTGGATTTATTATGTAAATTAAACCATTTTGGTACATTCCTATTGCCTAAATATTCCTTAATATCATTATTTTGTACCAACTATTTTGTTTTGGATGTACATGTTCTGTATGAATATTCGAACGTTATTTCCTTCTTCTTCATATTCTACATTATTTCTTCTCGTGATCTATATTTCTTTTCATTCCATGCAAAGTTTTTTTAAATCTTATTTTCATTTTTGTGTTTGTCATTCTATTCCATTATTGTTTACTACTGTCAAAAGCTATGTTTTTCTGTACATTTGTGAAATCATTCATATGATTTTGTGTGAACACCACTTTCACTGATAATGTTTGAATGATAGTTACCCCTATATGGGTTTTTTTACTAGACGTAACCTTGCTACCGACGCATGCCTTCATTAGCCACCAAAATAGCAACCACCTGTACATTGACTGTGCACAATTGTATTGATCTTTTTTTACTTGGTCATAAATAAGCTTGAGTAAAATTGGAAAATGTCCTGGATTATTATGGATTTTGAAACTATACCACTCCCCTTCATAGATACTACGCTGGGAGAGTCTGCGTAACCTAGGGCCGCCCAGCTCCCCGACCCTTTCGGGAGGCGCTGTGAGTCCTGTGGTGTACCCGACCAAGCCCGCATCCCGCCCCCGAACGCTCCAGGTGTCCTCCGACTCCAAATCAGAAACCAGCGACTACTGCGGCTCCCCCGGTAGCATGCAGTTCAGCTCCAGCCCAGGGGCGAGTCCATCCCACCCCAACATGAGCCACGCCCATCCAGGGATGACCTCCACGGCGCACCCCTTGATGGGTGGAGTGCACCCCTCTGGGGGTCCCATACTACCATCCATGAGCCCTTTGCTCCCGGTCAACCCGAGGAGGTCCAGTACGGGCAAGTCTGGGGGCAAGCAGCTTAGACCGGTCCGAGAGGAGGCGCGGGCGGCTAGGTCCGCACCCAAGGTGGAGGTAAGAAAAAACTATTCTTATGGTAACCCAACATTTGCTCCAGGGCGATTCCAGGCATTGTATCCCGGAGGACATATGGTATTTATCCATATATTTCATCTATGAACGAAAAATCTTTTGATATGACTTTGACTAATGGTAGAGATACAAGAAAGCGATCATAAAGATACGAAATAAGATTCAATGGTCATATCAAGTGGTTCTTCAGTAGTAGATGTTATATGTGGAAAAGGACATGATGTGAAGGAAACATTGTGTGGAATCGCTCTCCAACAACCTATTCCTCTGGCTCTATTCTGTAAAGGATTGGGGTCAGGGCTAGTGATGCTATTCAGTACACTGAGTCATGTGTGAGCAAGGCATCTGGAAAAGCATGTGAATTGATTGCACCATTATTTGTTTTCTTCTTGGATTTAGTTTTTGAATGTAGTGTTCCCTGAAAACATTGCTTTTATTTTTCAAACATCCTAATGCCCTACTGCATTTCCATGTATTCAGACAGTGCATGCGTTAACATCTTACAAATGTATGAGACATATTTTCCTCAGTGTAATTACTTTGATTTGTAGTGTGTTACTGTTTATTTTTCTCTCTTTTGGGTTGGTTTTGCACCTGTTTGTTTGTTCATTATTGAAATCTCTCAAACATGTTCCTTTTCATTAGTATGTTTTAGATACCATACTGATTTCACCCCTCCAAAATGTTTCCATGCAATATGCTAATTATTATATTGTTTGAAAATTATTTAAAGCACTAGTTTTGAAGTTTTTAGACAATGCAGCCAAATATTAAATGATATATGAACCTTTTTGCAATAGAGTTTTTGCTTGTGTTCTTGTTGTTGTTATTGTTGTACTGCACCTTTTTGATGTGTTATTTTTTGTGGAGTTGTTTGTTGAATTATATTTGCAGTGTTTTTTTTTGGAGTTTTTTTATTCAATTGCTTTCTCCCCTTGCTCTCTAACCAATTACAGGCAAGGAGAAGCTTACCCCTATAACACACACTCACCTTACCGTTTTATTGGTATGTATTAACAGTGTTATACGCTTTTAATACTAATATGACTCTCAAAGGAAGAGGTGTATGGCTTGCCGTGGCAAATTAAGGGCTGATCAGTCATATGGAAAAACTTATCCAGGGGGGTGGTCACAAAGATTATGTTCAGCTAAAGTTGGACTTCAATTATGGCAGGCTGTTCCATACCACGGGTTGCTCTCACTATTCCTGGCATTGGTCTCTCAAGGGACATTCAAATCCTGGTCGCAAATCTACAGAAATGATATTTTTTATTTATTTATTTTATTTTTTTTTTTTTTTTAAATCTATATACAATAATTACAATGGTGAGAGCAACCAGTGGCATGAACTGCCTACCATAGTTCAAGTCCAACTATAGTTGATCTTAGTCTTTGTGAAACACTGCCCTGGATAGTGTTTTGATTTGAGATTTTCAGACCAAACATAATTATACTGTGATTTCAGTGATTTTCAGCAAAACAATCCACTTACACAAATGTTTTGGTGGAGGTCGAAGAGGTGAGGTGGCCCTTTTTGATTGTGAAATGAATCTCAAAACAACACAAAATCATCTTCATCTTGTGGAGTGATGGCAATGATATAATTGAAAGAAAGACAGAGATTGACTACATAGAGATTTGCACGACAGATGTATCTCATTAATAAGCAAATATAGTCCTATTGAAGAACCCTTTACATTTCTTCAAAGCATCGGCAAGCAATTTACATGCACACATTCCCTTTAAAGTCTTTCCCGCAATCTAGCTCTACAGATTACATTTTACAAATTCCATGGAAAGAAGAAATATGTTCTCAGGAGGGGAAAAGACCCCCGAATCAAAATGTTTGTTATTTCATATTTGCAACAATATTAATTGATCTTGATTCATACTTGGTGTATATCAACAAAATTTCCATCCATGGTTGCTGTGATTTCTCAAAACTTTCCTGAATATCAAATTCATCAAGTTAATGACTTAGAAGATGAAATACTTGGCTGGCACAACTGGGCACATCATTCATTTTCTTGCCAATCAGCACTGTTTAGTTTGTTGCACTTTTTCCTTAGTTGATACTTCCACAATTACTGTGATATTGTATTAGTATTGAGTCAAATAATGACCTTTCATCCCAAATGCGCTTGCTGAATCAGTTCCTCAAAATGCCTAGAGTTGTTACAAATGTACACCTTGAGTTATTTTATGGACATACTGTAACAGTACTTTAAAACCTTAACAGCATTTGACAAACCTTTGACTATTCTCTTTATGTTCTCATTTTCTCATTCTGAAAATATGAATGTTCTTAGATCAAGTCATAGCTTTCCAATCGTGATATTTATTATTGAGAAGAGAATGAATAAAGTGGTACATCAAAAATTATCTTTAATGGAACATGGCAATTTAAGATTTGTCTTTATTATATCATTCCTACTTCTGCAGGCAAAAACTCTTTACTATGTTCAGAAGAGACATCGTGCAATAAGGATGAGTGAAGAAAAGATAAATCGTCGCCGATCTGAGTCGCCCCTATCTTTCACCGATGCCAAATCCACCCCTCCAAAAAGTGATGTCTTCCATAGTGAATTAGCTACAGCACTGAACCAGTCTGCAGGGTCTCATGTTGGTAGGAAGAATCCATTTCTCAATAGGGGAGATGACCCATCTTGTGATGAAAGTGCTACGGATGACCGCTTGGTCTATCTCCCCTCCCAGCAAATGGACCATTCCAGGACTTTGCTGAGAACAAGCAGAAGCTGGGAAGGTCCACTAGTGGCCGTCGGGGATGCAATTGAGGATGAAAATGAAGGGGAGGTGCAAACTGATTTCTCCTTCCAAACTCCACCCCACGTACCAGGAATAGATTCTTCCACTCCTGTACACTCATCCAGTAGGAGTTGGGAGATACCATCTGATCAAAAGGGGAAGAAGTTATACGGAGGGGGTGACTGCGATGACATGTATCTCACATTCGGAACCTGCAGTCTAGAGGAACCCATTTATGCAAATGAAGTCTGTTATTTAGAAGAGGACCAACCAATTTTCATCAAGCCAAAATGGGTCTGTCAAGAACAGGAATTTTGATGATGACATTGGAACCAAAAATAATCTTTTGAAAAACACATCAGTGTTCCATACATTGTGTTTGATGTAATTGCAGTTTACTATCTTCATATTGCCAAAGGGATTTATGTTAATCGTCTAGTCAATTCGCTTGACTGTCATGCTAGTGTACACTCCTTGTTTTGCATATATGTCCGTTCAAATTGCATTACAAGTATTTTTTGATTAGATCCAGACTCTAAAAAGATTTTTTATGGTTGTAGACTATCTAATGATAGGCATAAACCTATTTGATATGTTTATAACTATCTCCTGCCACTAGATTTACTCTCAGACAAAGAGTATTCAAAATTGTCATAAACTTCATAACATTAGATATCACTATAAAAATATCTGCAGATTTCACAATGTTTTGCATGTGATCATGATGTATTAAAACAGATAATTTTCAATTTCTTCGTCATCAGCTTCTTCTTCTTTTCTTTTATTTTTTTCTTCTTCTTTTCTTCCTCTTATTCTTCTTCTTCTTTCTTTCTTTCTTTCTTATTTTCTACATTAAAAAAAAATCTTATTTTTGGTTTGTTATCTTTCCCTTGCAAGAACACAAGTGCTTTACATTATTTTGGTTATTGTTCACTCATTTTAATTTTGCATTCTACATGTACACTGTAGTTCTGTAATTTACGAATTTTACTAAAATATGGAGATTTGTTTGTTCTGTTATGTTTTCTTGTATTTGTCTTTGTTTTTGCCACATATTTGATTATGATTCATATGATTTTCAGTCTTTCTCAATATTTTTTTTTCCAATTATAAGACCATGCAAATGTCCTTTTACATATATATTCCTGATCCATGTCCATTCCCTATTGTGCACTTTGCTATCCAAAGGTAGAATGCTACATACATTTATGTGATCACAGCTTGTGCTTGACTCTGTGTGTGGAAACACCATGTATGTAGATAATCATGTTTTCTATTACTCTTAATATTTTATTTCATTTTTCTTCTTCTTCTTCTTTAATTTTTGTGCTTTATCTATTGCTGTTATTTGAATGAAAGTATGACAAACTTTGTCTGTCTTGCCCAGTTTTTAGGACTGTCTCTGTTATCATGAAACGGATCCATGTTTATGTGTATAAGTGGGCCTGTCAGGAGAAGGGCATGAACTGCTGTCCTCATCAGCCCGAGTTGGCCAATTAGCTCGCTATTTTGTGATCCGAGAAATTAGCTCGAAGTTACAAATCGTGTCTTCATCAGCTCAAAACTCGAGCTTGAGAAATTTGCTCAGTGTTCGCGCATAGTGTGAGTCTTCAGACCACAGAAAGGCGGGCTATTTTGCAAATTAGTCCAAGGTATCTTGGGAAGATTTCCCGAGCAAATAGCCCGCTATTGTATGATCTGGCTAATTTCCAGGATCAGAAATAGCTGGCTATTTGGCCAATTCTGACTGCTGAGGACAGGCCTATAGATATGTACACTGTCCAGTCACACAACCAAATTGACTCCAAATCAACAGATAACTGAAAAAATATCGGCCAGTCAGGGTAATAATTTTTTTGTTTTGTTTAGTTTATTGTTGGTTTGGTGTCAGTCTCGTTGATGTTGCTAGGGTATTACAGTATTTCATCCAACTAAATCTGTATAGTTAATCATTTCTGTCATGGTTTTAATGTACTTGTCACAAATAATACTGAAATATCAGAGATATTGATTGCCCTATATCTGCAAGTATTTGTAAGCTTAAAAAATCTGCCCCTTTGAAATATTTCCTATAACTCGCCTGATTTTCAGGGAGGCTCCCTGAATTTTTTTTAAAATTTCTTTGATACGTCACTCCACACAACTTTGAATGCCTCCCCGATTTTTTGAAAGATTATTCCTATTATGCTGTATGCAATTGATAGAAACCTCCCGGATCTCTAAATGAATCCTCCCTGAAAGCTGTAGTAAAGGCCAGTTGGCATATCTGGGTTATGTGCGTGTATTTTGACAAAGGTAGTCTGACATGTATCCTGTATGACATTTATAAAAGTAGCCACAACGGTGCAATTTCAAACGAGAAAGTTTGGATTCTGACAAATGAAAAATATGGGTTCTCAAAATACAGACAGCAATCTGTTTTCATCACATTTTCATAATGATCTATAATCGCTATGCCCTGCCACATGTACTACATGTATATCACATAAAAAATTGAACAACTTGGGTAGCAAAGCTATAATATATTTGCTGAATACCTCCCTTCTTTATATTACACATTTATCTATCTTTAATTAAACTGCCTGTCTGTACTCTGCCATGAGAAAGATTTAATTCAAGTTCTTCCAAACTGTCGACTTAGTCTTACCTATAAAAGTACCCTTCTCTGTGTTGTTTGTCACACAATTTCACATTTGATATCTCTAAATCTCGTAGTAAAGATATATCTATCATTGTAAATTTCAAAAGGTATTCATTCTCTCAGTAGGGTCAATGTACTTTTATATAGTAGAGAGGTGTGTATAAGGCTCTGGCCTGGAGTATTTCACCATTAAATGGATCATAACTTTTAGAGATGAACTTTGATACTAGGCAATGTAAACCACAGACATCTCGACACTTATTCTAGGACAGAGTAAATAGGGCTGTCAATGAACACACACTTAATCACAGACTTATAAAATCACTTGGACTATAACTGTCTGAATTATTAAATCATTCATATTTTGCATTTGACAATGTGGATACTTGTGTTTGAATTTGACAACCTTTGAATTAACAAATACATGTAAATGCCCCTACGATTGGGCGTATTTTGACAAGACAAATCATTCAAATGTTTTTCTGGTTTCCTATGGCATTAGAGCAATTTTAGATTGGGGTAAAGGCTTCTTATTAATTCAAATCATATTTCATGTTCTCACAGATCGTATCTAAAGTAGGCATAATTATTGTTATTTTCCAGATATAAATATGTATTAAAGAACATAATTATAAATATATGAATGAAGATATGTATGAAAACAGTAAACTCCTCATCCTCTCCCAATATGTCATAATGTACACGTATTAGCAATTAATTTCAATTGTATTATTACTTATGTAGTAAATTCAAGGTATCATATGTCTGAAATTGTAGCAATGCTGCCAGAACAAATCATAGTTGAATTTGTATCTTTTTATATAAACATTTTGCACTCTAATATTTGGTGACTCTGCCAGCTATTGTCCAGACAAAATGGAATATAATTTGTATATAATTGAAAATTGACTTGGCTTAAAATCTGCTGTGAAACGATGCAAATTAGGTGCAATTAGTGAGACAGTTTGTAGCCATCAAGTAGAAATGTGATTACTGGAATTAATTAATTGAAATAATCTTAATCAATATATTTATGATTCATTGTCAGAAAGATGGAGGATTCGTTTGAATTTTTCATTGTTGCAGAAGAAACCAAATATCTTTTTGCTATTTGTGACTCTTAAAAGTGCAATTATTGGTGTATGGTAAAGATGGAAATCGCTTACATTATAAAACGTTATGTGACTAGTAAGTTGTAGTAGACTGGTTGTGTACATTATGTAAATGTCCATATGGATAGCTTTGTATATTTTGTCTGTTAAAACGTGAGTCTTTATGTCAATGTACATGCAATTCTTATTTCCTGATATGTTAATATTTTTTCACCTTCTGGTGTTGTTTTCTTATATTATCATGTGATGTCATGATTCTAACTGATTTGCACTTCTATCAAAATCAGGATTTCAATGTAGAGGGTTACATTTTCATTTTATTTTGTTTTAAAATGTTTTTCATTTCTTGTTTTCTTACTACTTATCAATCTAATCCTGAACACTTTCTCATTCTGTTTTTTTATTCACCCTGGTTCATCAGTTCTGTCACCTATTCTAAAAAAATCCCCCCTAACTTTGGGCCAGAGCTAACCTTAAGGCCAGGGTTAACGCACTAGCCAGGGTTGAATACCTAGACCCTACTCAAAGCTCCATTATTCTTTGACTATACCTTAACTCATCGGTATGAAATTGATTTCCAATTTTCATTTCATGTCCAAATCCATCTTATTTTTTGTTAACTTGTGTTTCAAAATGACATGAACTTATGGGTTGACGCATGGTCTTCCATTGATCAATGGACCAAGTTTTACTGACTTTTACTAAGGCTGCTTTCAAGAATATTGGGATGTTGGTTTGTTCTCTGGTTGTGACAACCCATTTATCTCTCAATGTATTTTAATGTACATATCTGTAACTCTCTTGCTTAATGTATACATTGCCTGTCTATTGTCCATAACTATTTATGTCGGTATGTCATATACGTATTTAAAATCGATCACTGTTAAGCTCTAATACTTGCCTTATCGCTTTTTGTTTAGCAAATGAAAATCATGACAATAGTCTTAAATTTTTTATCAGACACCATCATCCTATATGCTTATCTAATCTGCAGATAATGCTGCAACAAGTCCACACATACTTTGACCTTCAGTGTTAGAAGCATGATATATTATTAGCTACTGAGTAATTATAACTGCCAGACGATTGACATGTCCACAACCATTTTCTTTTCATAAATTTGTAAAAGATAGATATGAATTTCTTTGCCAGCTGAGTTTATGTTGCCTTTTATGTACATGTAACTCTATGCCAGCACATGTTTATAAAGTTGTTCCTCGTGCGCATGATACAGATTCTCAATTATATACCATCCATTAACATGGACGATGTGTGGTTCTGAGTCGACCAAAATACATCGTAATATATGCTTTTAATGATTCTCAATTATCTTCCAACTGATAATATTTGCCATTATACAGATGTCCATTTGTATGTTGTCATTGTTCAGTGAAATGTACTTACCTATATGTATTCAAATTTATGTTTTTGTGCTGATAACAAGTACATCGAATATCGCAGTAGTGATACTTCTAGTCCTTTTTCCCCTCTCATTTTGATTTCTAATCAGTAACAAATCCAGTAGATAATGAGGTTATTAGTTTTCTCTGTGAAGTTGTTTGTTGGGAGACAGAAGGGCATTAACTTCTATTCTTTAAAACAGAGTTAATACCCTTCTGGTTCTGACCAGATGAAATTAGGATTCATTGAACATTCTTATTTTTTAATCCTTTTTAACATTTTCCTGTATGTAATACTGATTTTGTTTTTATTTTTCATCAAAGATTTATTTGCATAGTACTTGGATAAGCTTTAAGATGAGAATTCACGTCAGCTTGAAGCTATGTCATGGCACGTGTCTACTGCCAGTATATTTCGTGTGTGGTAATTGGTAATGTACATGGTTGTACATGCTAATGAATTGAAATGAAAAGTAAATTAAATATTTGACTTTGTGTTGACGAAATGCTTCTGTAAATATTGCTACATAGAAGAGATTTTTTATTACATTTGGGGTAAAAGAAATCTGAATAAGTCTGAATGCATTTTCATTTCATCAGCGTTTACATCTTTTCGTTGCAAATCATTGGATAACAGAGTGTGGAAGGGTTGTTTGGAGAATGTGGAAAAGAGAAAGAGGTTGGTAGAAAGGAGAAAGAGGTTGGTAGAAAGGAGAAAGAAGGAGAGAGAGAGAAAGAGTGAGAGAGAGAGAGAGAAGAGTGTGTGAGAGAGAGAGAGAGAGAGAGAGAGAGAGAGAGAGAGAGAGAAGTGAGCGCAAGAGGATGTAAACCATACATTAAGACGGGGTATTGAAAGCGAGTAAGAAAAAAAAAAGTGAATTTTTGATCGTAATCACACCAGGGAGGTTACTGACACCTCCCTGGTTCAAATGAGATGTTTTCCTAAAGTGAGTAATCGTTCGTTCGTGTCTCCTTAGATCAAGATTAATGTATCTTGATCTTCGGAGTAGTTGCTACAAAGATCAAGATACATTAATCTTGATCTAAGGAAACACGAACGAACGAGTACTAAAATGCCTCGTTTATCCTGGGTAGCATCATGGGTGTAATAAATACTGCTCTCCCTAAGGGCCCTTCGTCGTATTATTCATGATAACTGCTTAAGCAAGGTTGGTGATTACAAGAAAGAACAATGTACTCCTTACCACATTTGTGTCATTATTTGACATTTTAATTGTCTACGATGACTGTAAAATGACGTAATCCATGACAAATTCGGTCTTGTGATTTTGTTTCAAATTTTAACCGAAATTACGGGAGGTAGCTGAATGTAATGACTTCTAAATCATAACTGAAGTAGGACTATAAAGTAACTCCAGCAAAAACAAAATGTTCAGCTTCGCAGTATTCAGCATTTGCAAATCGTAAGATCTAGATGATAGAAAAGGTGAGATGGAAATTAGACGATAAAGAATTGCAAATCATCGTAGCAGATGCCCCTCCCCTTACGAAATGTGTAAGAAAACAATAAACATTATTACCATGGCATATTCATTTCTTAGAATCACTTTCAAAAGATCCTTGATAAATTTACTGAAATATTGTACTTCTATAAGTTTGCACAGATTGCTTCCCTTTTAAAAAATAGATCATTCCAGTTCATCCTTGCTCAGTCTCTTCTGTAGTAGAATATTCCATTCATGTTTGAGGTGAATCATACGTGTCCTTTAAGGAGGGGCTCCATACTGTCTTGAACTAAGTCTTCTTCATTCACTGATGCCATCACACGTGTCGGTAATGGTGTTGGTCGTCTTCTGTTTAGAAAGTGAAATTATAGAAGAACAAAAAATGATATTGATAGAAATTCTTCTTGCCATGGGGGGTATAGTTTATGTATGAAAATTAGTAAAACGTGTTAGTGATTATTGTAATAAACTTCTAGGAATATTTTTTATAACCAACTCTAATGATCATGGCCTATTATGCAATTTAGCCATGTTGTTTTTATTCAGTAGGTACCCAGACCATACAAATAAAGGGCTCAAGTAGGGTGGAAAAAAGATTACCTGCATAAAATGTGTGCATCCGTCACCCCCCCCCCCCCCCCCCTCTTGATAGTCTTTCAGTACATTAATTTAGACTTTAGCCTTTTAATATGGCAAATCAAACAATAAGACATCTTTGCTTCAGGATAAATGTTTGGCAACTTATCTGCAAAGATTCTGCGACACATTAGCCCCCCCCCCCCCCCTAGTAGAGATACCCTGAGCGGGAAAGTAGTTCTCACGATTTGAAAAGAAAAGAAATAAAGAGAGGGTCGAGGGAGGGGGTAGGAAAGGAACAAGATATCCAACCCCCCCCCCTTCCACCCCTTTACAAATCCAAATCCAACTCGCCTATTTTGGCAGCAGAATTCGCTCAAAGTGAAGAGGGCGACTATGATGGCGACGACGACCTGAATGCCTCCGATGACGGTTACAGACCAGTCAAAACTGTACAGGTGAACGACCAGGCCGCCGAGTGACGGACCCACGAAATTCCTGCACGAGGACGAATCGGTAAAATAATTAAGAAGCGGTAAAATTAATATGAAGTTCATATAGTCTACACATTTTCCTCATTTGATATGTTGTTAGGAGTAAACATAAATCTAGAATTTGTTTCATGCATAAATTTGTATTCTTCTTTTTAAAGTTCTATATCTATAAATGCAGATTTCAAGGATCAACTTCGAACTTTAAAATGTCTTTAGCATAAGGCCTAACAAAAAGATGTTGCATTGCCCTTTAGGTGCCAAAACATAGGTCGGTCGGTCGGTCAGAAATCTTTTTTCTTCTTTTTATAACTTTTTAAAAATATTTTTTACTCCCTCTTTGGGCTTGGATTTCTCAGTTTTTAATGCTTTAATACATTTTTTTCTTCTAAAAAACGGTTTTAAAAAAACTTTTTTTAAAAGCCGACCGTATATTTCAAGATTTAGGGGTCGGTCGCAAAGGGCAACACAACACCTTTTTTGTTAGCCCTAAGTGAAACATAAACCGAGAATTGAATATGTCAAAGCTATACAAAAAAAAAAAAAAAAAAAAAGAAATTAGGGAGTCATGTGAAGAAGTGGTCTGGTCTGAAGTTTTCTGATGATTAATCCTCTCGAGTCCTTATTTCAATTAATCATTGTTTAATATGCCGTTTAATACATTTGTATGTCGTTGTTTTGGTTGCATTGTATACAAGTTTATATAGTCAACAAAACTGGATATACATAATGGCTAATGCGAAGAATTTGTGCGATGAAACATTTATAAATCTGGATGTATGATGATCTTCATATTGACTACTACGATTGTTTTAACGAAGCTCCTCAAAGTACCCGATAGTTCTGCTTTTTTAATCTTAGTTTATTGCCCATCCATTTTAGTATATTAATAAGGCAGTTTTAACGGTTTTGATACTCAACTATTCAATAAATATTCCTGAAATATTCAATGAATGCCTCTCTAATTTGAAACGAAGCGACCATTTTCATATTCTTAAAATCCAAGAAATGTGCTTCCTCGCGATAACATTTTCCTGTGTACTTGTAAACTGTACATTTGATGTTTTTATTTTCTTCAAAGAGTTTATGTTTATTAATAGCTTTTAAGAAAAACCTTTCTTTTTAAAGAATTATACATAAATATTTACTACCCCGATGCCATCGTGTGAAAACAAGATACGGGGATAGAGCACTTTCTGTAGCTGCCCCCCCCCCCCAGTTGTGGAATAGCTTCCCGTCATACATTCAAAATGCTCCTTCTACATCCACTTTCAAAGTAATGTTAAAAACCCATCTGTTAAAAAACATACCATGAATTTTGTCTTCTCTAAACATGTCAAATAAATAAATGATGTTGTACTTCTATTTGTTATGTAATAAGTCATCCTTAGCAGAATTTAAGTTAGATTAAGCTGATTTATTCATTTATTTGTAACAAACTGTAATTTTGATTTTGTAACGTAACATACTGTAATTGACTACTGAATAATATTGTGTACTTGTGGTGCTGTCGTCCCGGCTTTATTTCGTGTAAGGATATTGCTTCACTTGATGGCTGCTGGGACAACAGCACCACTGCGCCTAGAAACAATGTATTAGGCGCGTTATAAATGTGATCTGTTATTATTATTATTACTATTGCCACTGTGGCTCCTACTTGCTCATTTACTTAATTCAATTTTTCTTTGGAAATGTCGAATATCCACACTCTAATGAGGCGTAAAAGTCAAAGCTTTGCTGTATACTTTTTATCAAAGTTAGGGACAGGGTATACAAACCATGCTTTCTTGATCGATGTGCTTACATAAAGATGTCATACATACCCAAGAGCTAATAAGCTAGTGAAAATGCCCGAAACGACGGCCTGAGTGCTCATGTCATCTGGAAAACCATGATTCCTGTAGTCAATTGAAAACAGATTGTTAAAAAAAATTGGAATCAGCGGAAGGGTTTGTGTGTGTGCGGGTGCGTGGGTTTACCCCCCCCCCCGCCCCCCGCCCCCCCCCCCTACTCAGTGTTATTTTATGCGTATGCTTGTTTCCTCCCTTTACAAGCAATCCCCTATCTCAGGACTGCCAACATTTTATAACCCCCCCCCCCTTTTTTTGCGGGGTTTTCCTGCCTAGGAGACCCCCCCCCCCTTAAATCCGGAACACTTGATATTCAAGATATTTTATAAACCCCTTTTTTTATTTCTCAGGAGTCAAGAGAGAGAGAGAGAAAAAAAAACTTTTCTAATTTCATATCCCCCTATTTAAATTCTCAGGAATCACAAGAGAGAGAGAAAAAAAAAATTTAAAAGAAATCTCCGGGTGAGAAGTCAAATACACCCTTTTTACAATTATTGGGCCGAAAAGTAGGCCTACCCGTTTACCAGAGATTTTGGAAGCACGAATGCGGTCCCTACGACCCCGTGTGTGTGTGTGTGGGGGGGGGGGGGGGGGGGGTTAGCTCACATTGATTCATGCATCCAGGGGGCCGGACACTGGGCATAGTAACCACCCTCTCCAAAACGTTTACGGTTATATAGGAATTTGTTCTTATCAACAAGCCACCCCCCCCCCCCGTCCCCCACCCCCATCACGAGGATTCTTGATCCGCCACTGGGGTATTCCACTGCATGAGAGCTCGAGTAAAGAAAAATAAAACAAGATGCATCGTTTAACAACGCTAAATCTGAGGTACACGGCCCTATGTGCTATCGGTGTCTGTGATATGGTATAATATTGAAGCCCTGAAAAAACGCGCATCAAAATGATCAAGAAGTGCCTCAAAAAAGTAAAAATCTTTGAGTGACACGTTTTACCATATTCGTTTTCCTGAATAGACTGTAGTGTTATGAAAACCGGAAGGAAAACGCAAAATTTGGTTTCGATTTACAATCATAAATATCTTGATAGTCAGACAGGTGATCGGCTTGTAAAAGTCATGGGGTTCCTGACTGACCTGAAGGCTTATAATTATCATTGCAGCATGAGCTAAATCCAGGATTTTGTTTCAGAATCTGAGACAAAGTTACCGGATCCCTTTAATTATAATGGATCCTTATACATGGAACTGACTGGAATAGTACCAGCAGATTATACTAAAGATCTCTTCAGGTTAAAGTAAAACAGCCTTGATATTTTGTTCAACGTGTGAATACAAACATACATGTACATATACCAGGCGCGTACGCAGGATTTTTTCAAGGGGGGGGGGGGGGGGGTTTAAGATTTATAAATCGGGCCGAAAATTTCGCAACGACTCAGCCAGCCGCTGAATAAGCGGGGGGGGGGGGGGGGGGGGGGGGGGGGGGGGGGGGGGGGGGGTGGGGGGTAAGAGGACACTTTTTCTTTCTTTGTCTCAAAATTTGAAAAATTGACATTTCGCTCCACTGGGGGGGGGGGGTAAGTTCACCTTTTTAGGTCAGCCATGGGAATATTTTTTTTTTTTTTTTTTTTTTTAAATAATTAAAAAAAAAAAAAATCAAAGGGGGGGGGGGTTTACACACATAAAAATACCAAAGGGGGGGGGGTTAACCCCCAAAACCCCCCCCCCCCTGTGTACGCGCCTGTCTTGTACGTCTCGCGCGATCAAACAAGAAATAATATAACCTTTAAACAATGTTTGTCATAATACATCGAGGTTATAACTTTAAATGGGATTTGGAACCATGTCAGGTTGTAAAAGCGAGACGTATTCAAGTTGATGATTATAAGCGTACATTTTTAATTTTATTATAACTAATTTGTTATTTTCAAGTTCTAGAGACAGGCGGAGAAGGCTAGGGACAGAGACGGGGGAAATCGATCTATCTATCTATATCACATAACTTGGAGGCCGTTGCGCGTTGGGGCGAGCATGAAATGGACCCGAGACACAGGTTCTCCATAAATTTCTGTCTACGGCTGTTCTAGCTGGCTTCAGCGCTCAAATGACATTGGCCGTCTACTGCGGGATGTTATCCGTCCATTTCATACTATAGTAGTTGGTCTGCTCCCCTCTCATCTCCTATCAATTCCTCCTTGCATACTTGGTGTTTACCCAGCTACTCTTCCAACTGTAATTATAGTTATAGGCCCAAACCACTGCCACAAATGGTGATTAGGTGATCATGTTCCCCTTATAACTCTGCATATTATCATTCTACTTGATTTAGTGGTACTTCCACGCTCTGACACGGCTCTCAACTCAATACAATCGTCAAATAAACAAAAATATAATTTATCATAACGTTACAAATGCTACGGTCACAAAGGTTCGTATGAACGATAATTTCGTACGAATCTCCCTGTTTTTCCATTGTCTTCCCCGAATGTCCATTGTCTGAAAATCGTTCGCACGGCGTTCGTAGCAGTTCGTAATGGCATTTGTGACCGAGGCTAAACGAACTGCTACGAACGCCGTGCGAACGATTTTCAGACAATGGAAATTCGGGGAAGACAATGGAAAAACAGGGAGATTCGTACGAAACTATCGTTCGTACGAATCTTTGTGACCGTAGCATTAGACGAGGCCCTCATGTCATACTTACGAAGCGGAGATCAGGTAGTCATTGAATGAACAGATGACTGAGGCTGAGAGAAAGATGCCACATAAGGCTAAGCTCACGCAAATAATCCATAATTCACTGGATAAAATTAATCAAAGAAAAACAATTGGAATAGGAATAATACAAAATATAGTGGATTCATGAAAAGTAGTGACATACGAACAATAGTAAAAAGAGCGTATTTTGTAAAGTGTTTATTTTGATTTTGCAGATTATGATTTTTATTCTACTTATTCTATTCATATAACTATTCTATTCATATAAATATGCTATAAGCATGTGTTTATGAATTTGCTCGTACAATAATATATGATTTGCTTAATTTGATTTTATTAATACAATTAATACAATACATAATATTGTGAACATAAACAACATATAATTATTTTATACTGTTGACACATATCGTTTTGTTCGTAATAAACTATAATGAATGAACCGAATGCGTAGAAGATGATAATACAGGCACCAATGCTACAGCCAGAATCGTTCTTTTTTCTTCTATAGATATTTATAAAGCCTATATGCACAACATGGCCTTCATTACCACGTTTTATCATTGAATTAATATTTTTCAGTGTTTGATAATATAAAAGTACATTTTTTTGTTGAGGGTCCCAGCATGTGAATAAGACATTATGTTATTGACAATGGTACCAATTAATGAAATTACAAACAGATAAATAAGATATGACTTACTTTGGAAGGTTAAGAAGAGGTGATGGTCCCATTAGCAGAAAAGCGCCTCCACTCATGATGGTTCCAATGATTATCATTAAACGAGATATATTCTAATAAGTAATAAAACAAGATGGAAAGTATTCAAATATCTTGGATTCATATAATGTAATGTATATTACCGGCTATATCCAAAGTTCATTACTTAAAAACTTAAAAGCTTAGCTGGGAGGGTGGGGTACCAATTCCTTCCTCTTCTCGTCCTGTCCCACCCCCCCCCCCCCAAAAAAAAACAAGACAAAACACAACACAACAACAACAACGACAACAACAACATTAATGATGATAATAAAGGAAGGCCTCAAATTTGATGATTACCTTCTTCACATATTATATTATGATCATACCGTCTGCTGAGAGACAGAAATGGCATAGATTCTAACATGTAGACAGGGTTACCCCCCCCCCTCCCACTCCGAAGAAGAGGACGAAGAAAAAGAGGGAGACGCGGCATGGTGAGGAAAAAGAAGACGCGACATGAAGAGGAATAACATATAGTAACACCATTAAGAAAGCATCCTGTTCCTACCAGTTTCTCAGCCATCCAACCCCACAAAGGTGAGCTTAAGGCATAACATCCTCCAGAAAGTAAAAAGAGCAGACCCACTACCATCGCGCTCTCTGTGAACTGTGCCACGTGAAGGGATAGGGTGGGGTCCAGAAAGCCAAAAGATGCGCTCCCGACGAAGATGCTAAGTCCGACAGGCCATACCGATGGAATGCTGAGGAATTTGGTGATGGAGCCCGTTTTTGTGCCATCGTTACCTACAGATTTTACATTATTGAAGTATAATACACTGTGTTAACATTTCAATTCCACGCAAAATATATGTTCTTTCGTGCCTTCTTCGCATTTTACAAAATATTAAACAGAATAACACAAGCTTAAACCAGAATCATCCCTTCAAACAGGAGCTTCTGGTGATTACGACTAAATAAAATATATTCATACAATTCATGCACATGATGCAGTAGATCGGGTCCATACAGTGAGGGGCACTGATTAGTAACCTAGTATTCGTTCAAGAAAACGCTAACAGACAGACCTAGAGTGACCCGTCTAAAGGGATTTATAAATTCTACCAACGGTCGTTTACATTAAAGATGAAGTTGAGTTCTGGTCATGCGATTGCACTGTGAAAGAATCGATCAGAAAAGGTTGATCATCTAGCATATAAGAATTTGTGTGTATTGCAAGGTTCTGGAATCATCAAAATGATAAGAAATTTGGCCAAGTCTTGGTAAAGTTACAAACACTGTACACAGAAAGATGTATATGGGACTACACGAACACGTGGCGTAAAAACCCTACCCCCGAGTTTTACGATGAACATGACATATTTAGAATATGAAGGCATTTAAAGAGCTATGCTTTTCAGGGAACATTTCTTATCTGATGTTCTTCCACACTTGCATAATAAGAATGATAAAGTTCACAAATTATTTTTCACCTCTTCCCAGAACTCAACCTTCTCTTTAAAGGGATAGTTGAGTTCCGTTTTCAGACCGCAAAAGCCTTTAAAGTGCCTGGTTGTTGCTTTTATTCTAATCTATCACATTTATAGTGCCCTTTTAGAACCTAAAATTGCTATGAAGGTTATTTTAGACCCCAAAATGTGTGAAATTTAGCCACTACCATCATCCCAATTCAGCTCCACTTAAAAAAAACACGGTGACCGTTAATTAATTATTAAATTAGAAATAACAATACATGAGTCGGCTTATTGTGGGTATTGTAAGCAACACGAAAATGCCAACAAAAAAGCCAACATCGGCAATGGCTGAAATACGACATAAAAGGCGTTATTTCGATTTTTCAACGGTTTTTTCAATTTTTTCAAAATATCTCATATTTGTGGTGGTACACAAGTATTAGAATTCATATTTATTCTAATTACAACCCCCCCCCCACCTCCCTCCAATCAAGAAACATGACATCAATTCAAACAGAAATCAAGAATTTATAACTTTGACCATATCCACACACCCTCCCCCTAAAAAAGTAATAATAATAATACTGATAATAGCGATAATAATGATTTTAATAATAACAATAATAATAATAATAATAAAATTAAAAAATTAAATTAAAAAATAATTAAAAAATCCAAACAATAAATCAACTATTTCCTACCTATTGAAGGCAGCAAGGCCAAGTTGAGAAAAACACAAACCATATCAGCACACCCCAGCACAATAAATGGAATCTTATAATCATTACCTCCAACCTGTGTATAAAGATTATAGAGCAGTACGTTATCATCCATTTAAAATACTGAATTTATTTGAAATCATCACTATAATCATGCAAGGCCTATAACATCCAGTTCACCCTCATCCAGGAAGCAAACATAATATTCAGGATGTATACTCAACCGTATTATCACCATAGTCCCTATGGGTTATATGCTAGGATGAATGTCGGCCTATTTCAGTACCCACATCAAAACATGGCCCGGGATCTATTCTATTAAAAATAAAACATCCACTGAAGACAGAAATTGTATCTAATTATTCCGAAGATTTGCGAAGTGTGCTTAATCTTAATCTTAGTTGCAGAATACCTGATATGTAAATGATCAAAACTTCCATTACGTTAAGGATGTGATTGTATACGGTGTGTTTCATTGTAAGTCTTTATGTCATTCAAAGTAAAATTTTTGTCATAATATTATTGTCCTGGAGGAATTTGGAGGGGGAGAGACGGGGGTAAAGCCGACACCATTAGAGTCACTCTTACCTCGTACAGGAAGCCACCAATGACAGGACCAACCATGTATCCAAGACCACCAAAGGTCTCCATCAAACCCTGCAGTGATCAAAATGAAATCATTTATCGGGCTAATAATATTACCACGTACCGGTACGTTTAATCAAAATGCAGATTTCGTAACCCCTCGCCTAAAAACAAAAATGAACGTATAAGGAACACAGGAAACGCTTTCGGAAGGTCTTTGTTGATACCTGGCAATGTGAAAGGGAAACAACTTAATAATCATCTGGGCATTGTTTCATGAAACCGACATAGGTACGAGTTCATCGACATCCTATTGAAACGCGTGTTTAATTGTTTATTTTAATACACGCGTTTCTATTGGTTATCGGCGAACTTGTAATTATGACGTTTTCGTGAAAAGCTGCCCTGGTCGTAATCTATGTTTTCCTTCCGTTGTTAGCTCTCGATATAATATTTACGGAGTGGATTTCAAGTGAACGGCTTTCAGGAAGTTTCATTTCACTACCCATCTAGGATTATTACAGCCACTGAATTCAAAATAGACGCATATAGGTCTACGGGGTACTTCTTCTAGAATCAAATCGTTAATATTACTTACGACGGTCTGAGCGACATGATCAGGAAACGTCTGAGCGGCTATGGTGTATGTTGCAGTTACACCCGCAGCGGTACCCACGGCCGCGGTACAACGGGTGACGTAACAGAAGATTACAAACGTTGAAGTGGATTTTATTTCGTCACAGAACCTGTAATAAATTAGAAAATGAATGAAATCTTTACAACTTACTAACGTCTAAGCGGCCGATATGAATCACGCGGTCATGACCGCAGCAGTACCAAAGGCCACTGTACAGTGATTGACTAATTAAAGATTACAAAACAAGATACAAAAAGGTGAATAGAATCTCATTTCATAATCTGCCAGTAATAAAAGAAATTAAAACTGTAGTATCAGAAACGTCTAAGCGGCCAAAATGAATGATGCGGTAGTGACTGCAGTAGTAACACAAGCTGCAATACAATGGTGCCTCGCCGGATGGTAACAATCATTAACCGAAAATAACGTAGATTATACATCTCATCAAATAACCTGCAATGAACTAGGGAATATAAAACGTTGGAGCGACCGTAATGGATTTCGGCGGTAATGACCGCAATGGTTTTCAAGGCCGCGCCAGAAATGATGACGTATCTGATTTCATCACAGAGCCTGAAATAAATGCTTAATGAGGAATGTTTGAGCTGCTATAATGGATGATACGATCACGACCTTCTTGGTAGCCAGGGCCGCGGTACAACGGGTAGCGTACCATAAGACCATAAACACGAATGTGGATGTCATCATGAACGGAGTACGGAACGTTGGAGCCGTTGAGGTGAATTATGATGCCCTTTGAGGGCCGCGGTACCCCGGGAGGCGTAACAGAAGACAAAAGTATGAACATGATCAAATATTTTCAATGTTTTTTTCTAGCTGTTTCATAAAAGGTAACGTCATTACTGTTTGGATTGATATAAACATTGGTATAGGCGGTAATATTTGGCATGATGATGGGGGCAAGGGGGGATGACCGTTCCCCCATGATATCCCTATAATATCCCTTCTTAAACAGGAATACCCTTCCCTCAAAGGTGTACTTTCTTCGTGGAGCAGAGAGCGCAATAAATGCTTAATTAGGGCAACAGCTAAAGCAGAGATCGACTCACTAAAGAGTACATTGTACTTTTGGATCGAACCGAACTCAGGAGGACTTCTTATATAATATTCTAGTTTACATTGAGGTCGCTGACTGACATACTTACCCAAATAGGATGTTACATCCGGCTACTATCCAAACTCCGGAAACAAAGGTGAATTTTGCTCCAAGTCTAGGAAGCTGAAAGGGAATACGAATGGGAAATAGTAGATCTGACCATAGATTAAAATCTTATTGAAATTTCTCGGCAATCATTCAACTGTATGCATTCAACTTACTTAATGGCTATTCCAGATCACGGACCTACTACGTATATGTCCGTGTTCAGATCACCCTTATCATTCCAGTAAAGTGGCACATGTTATACAGTACATAATCTCAGACAATAATCATAAAAGACAACCCAATATACTTATTAGCTTATTTTACAACTTAAAGCCTAACGAGTATGTCAAGACATGATATAAGGCCTCATTATTTTATTCATGTATTTATTTATTATTAATCAACTTATTTATGTTATATTTGTATTGCTAAATTTCACTACGAAAAGCTACGATAAAGAAAATACTCATTGAACAACAGTCCATGAAAGTGTAACCATCTTATACAAATTGTTAAATATATTATATTATAAGTGAATACATAGGTCTTACTGGCAATCAATTTATCCAGATTATGAAGGTTAGTATCAATAGATCCCCCCCCCCCCTCCCTCACCTCACATCATCCCTGTTGAGAGTCTAGTAGTTTGTGCACCATCCCATCGATAAGACCTTTTTGATAATGTTAGGTAGAGGCCAAGGATACATTTGAACGAATTCTTTTTTGTAGGGAATACTTTGTAGGGGAGAGGGCTGCACATTGTGGCTGTATAATAATATACTCACAAATTTTCCAAAGATTGGCGAAAAGATGACATTGACGAGAGCAAATGCACCAAATATGAAACCAATTTGTAGACCTGAAACACCTTTCTCCTTTGCCTGAAAAATTAATGATTTTTTAGATTATATATCAATGCTGATAAACATTAATATGAAATTATTGGATCAGCAAATAGAATTAGAGCTGAGACATTAAGAAGCAAGGTATCAAAATCCATCGGATACTCAGATAATGATAATAATAATAATGATATAATAATAATAATAATAATAATAATAATAATAATAATAATAATAATAACACTAATAACACTAATAATACTAATAATACTAATAACAATGTCTCATTTACCCAGGATAGCCCCATCAAACAGCTTTTCCTGGGGGCCCTACAATCATTATTACCCCCACCTGTTGACATTTACACCTCGGTGGAGAGAGGCAAGATATGGATAAATGTCCTGCCAAAGGATATTAGTGCTGAGGTGGGTTTCAAGCCCTCAACCGTTGGATTGAGAGTCAAGTAAATGAAGGACTTTACCATGACACATCCAACGATGCCAAACGAATACTTGTCAAAATAACAATTTACATCTTTTGCCTACTGTTTTAGTTTTTGAGTTTCTCAAAATACTTCTACCAGATATTATGCTAGGAATAGACACTTACAGACAGAGGCATAGCTATGGGGGAAGCGCCTCCCTTAGGATGACGATAACAATGGAAAAGGATATAGAGGCAGAATATGAAAGAGAAGGAAATGGAGGGGAGGAGACGAGAAAAGAAGATTAAAGGACCGCACCATCTCCCTCATCGATGGCCTTGTATATTTGCATTTGTTCATTTAAAAAAAGACAGGTGCCACCCCACCCCACACACGCGCGAGAAGGTGTTTACCACCTTATACCTTATATAACACCTTATCGCTGATGAGACAAGTTTCTAGAACTTTTAAGAACTCTTCTTTCTTTTTAAAAGTAAAATTATACCCACCTCTCTTGGAAAGAAAGGAGCCAGAACCGAAAAGGAGGCTTGATCGAGGAAGATGGAGACAGCCAGACTGATGAAGATGAGAACTTGAGACTTGGTAAGCTTAGAAGGCTCCTTCAAAACTTCATCTTCTTCAGATGCGCTCTTGCTCCTCTCGTCCCTCTGATAACTCGAGTTGCTACCATCCCCGTTATGCTCAACTTGGTTGATCCCACTATCGAAGCGCGAAGAGGAGTCTTCTGATTGGTTGATCCCACTATCGAGGCGCGAAGAGGAGTCTTCTGATTGGTTGGTGTCTTGAATGGAGGTTCTTGATTGGTTGGTGTCTTGAATGGAAGTTCTTGATTCGTCAGATATTAGAGGCGAAGTAATCGACGGGGAGCAGGTCGAATCATCACTCGAAATTACTTCAGTTTGTTCAGTGACAGCTGAATCATGTAAATGCACGTTCTCGGGTGATTCTTCATGGGGGCCTGTGACGTAATCTGATTGTTGGTTATTTTCATAAGTAAATGATAAACCATCAATATCCTTAGAACATACAGATTTCGCAGAAGTTTGATTCACATTCTCGCTAAATCTGTAAAAGTCTTTGGCGCTGTCTTCTGATTGGTCCAATCCGTGTCCAGATTCGCCAGGCGAAGCTCTGCTGCTTGATTGGTCAGTCAATATCTCATCATACTGACCACTGCCCCCCGTCATCGCTGATTGGACAGGAAATGTCTCATCTTGTTGAATTTGCAAATCCATGATTTATGATTGGTTCAATGTGTCGCTTCTGTAGGGCCTCTATGGTAATCAGTCTCTTATCGGCACCGAAATGATTGACTCTTTATCAAAATATGCTACTTATTGGCCGGTTAGAATTTGTGGTTTGCATTTGCGGAATCGATGAATTTTCTTTGCGGAGATCATGCCTCCCTGGAGTAACTATTCCATCATGGCCTTTAGCAGTCTTCCACTTTCTACCGAGTCGTCCACAAATACCAACGATTCAAATTCATATCTGCAAGTTTGAACGGAAGAAAAAATTATATCAGTCAATTTGAAACTTGTCCTATACCATCTGATCAGTGGAGAGAGAGAGAGAGAAAGAAAAAGTGGTAGGTCGATTGCCCCCTATAATTATGTTTACTGCTTGTAGCTCTAAAATATTCCAATTGCGACAACATTATGTAATGCGATATCATTCAGGGGTCGTCATTGTTCAAATTAATGTCTTCAGAGTTGAAATAAAAAATATTAACGATATATGGTTCCCATTGCGTTAACATGTCGCAATCAGCTCCACCCCCCCCCCCCCCCCCCCCATTGATGAATGGTACTGACGACAGTGTAATAACAAATATGACTTATGGAGAGTAAATACAAAAAGACCTTTGAACACTGTACCTCTGCCAAAAAAAGTGACTTACAACATGACTCTTGTATTTTTAATCGTGACAACACTTTGCAATACTGTATATATAGTCGTCAATTCAGATTTATAGCTTCTAAATCGAGAAGGTCGAGGCACTGTACCATGATATAGTTCTTATTGTGTGTACATGTTGCAGTGAGCTCCCATCGCTCTCCATAAATAATGCAAGCACGATGAAAGTGAATACATTGTGCAGGTACATGTATATCCCGTCTTTAATTCCAAGGGTTACTCCGCCCTGCTTCGTCCGGCATTGCGGAAATATATTTTGGTCCCATAAGCATCTTATTGTGTGTTACGCCGTAAAACATGAGGCATGATAGACATGAATTGTTTGGGTGCGAAATTGTTGGTTGTATTGGTCCCGTTTGAAATTAAAAAGGACAGTTTAATGTACCAATCGAGGTCCCGTAACTTCTTTTCACACATAGGCCGTCGATTTTAAAATGCTTGAATGCCCAATTGAATACACGTGCACAATTGGCGTAATTTCTATATCACGCATCGTAATGCTATTGCTGCTACTAGACCTACTTGTAGTAGTACTACTACCGGCTACGGCTACTACTAATACCACCGCCACTACTACTACTACTACTACTACTACTACTACTACTACTACTACTACTACTACTATACTACACTACTACTACTACTACTACTACTACTACTACTACTACTACTACTACTACTACTACTGTTACCACTATACTTCTGCTGCTGCTGCTACTACTACTACTATACTACTACTACTACTACTACTACTACTAGTACTACAACTAACAATAATAATACTTCTTTTATTGCTCAAGAGTTCTGCTACCTCTGTTACTGATGTAGCTTCTGCTACTGTATTTACTCTGCTTGTCATGGTTACACCAATACTAAATTATTAACAGTACAGTACCACGGCCACCACAATTCTATTAGTAAGATATAAGCGATTTGAGTCGTGCTTACCTCTCACATGATATATCCTACCGAATCTGTTAACTGTGTGTATATTGTTCAATTTTGAGTTTCATTTTCCGGTTTTACTTCTGAACAAACATCCACACTCTCTAAATTCCTCTCTTTCCTTCCGTCTCTCTCCCTACGGACTTCACAATCAGTGTGCAACCATCAATAGTGTTATAGAGGGCGTCGTTTCTTTTAATGTAAGTACAATACGGATTCGTGATTTGAAAGAACAAAATATAACTTCTAGACCCAAGCTTTCTGATGCCGTCATTATTCTTTCCTCTTTGTGTGTGAATGTATATTGTTTACCTACTGCAATGAATGAGCAATTTGAGGTATCCTCAAAAAACACCCAAATCAAACTTGTGTTCGAGGGCGCAGATTTAGATTACATTATTTGGGTGTTTTTATTTTTATTCACAAGGTCTAACACCATTTTTTGTTTTTTAATCGAAACAAATAAGTTTTTTCTTCGTCTTTCTGAGAATATGTAGTTTGAGGAAATAATCGACTCCATTTTTTATATTTTTTTGTGGGGGGGGGGGGGGGAGGCGATTGACAGCCCCTTCCTGATTCATTTTCTTTTTCAATTGACAGTTCTTTCATTTCATTATCAACTATTTGACAGAATTTGGATCATGGGCTTTGATGTGGTGACATCGACACGACTTAGGGATTTTTTTTAATTTTTTATTTTTTAATTTATTTATTTTTTTTATTTTATTTATTTATTTTTTTTTTTTTTGGGGGGGGGGGGCTTTGGAGGTTAAACCCGAGAGCTACGATCAGTTCTTCAACGACGATTTTGCCAATGGAATAAAAGGTCTTAGTAACTTGATGGATTTCAGGTTTCAGACCGAACAATACGTAGATAGAAAAGTAAGAAATGTACTAAAGTAATTGAAAAGAAGAGGGGTTTTTTTTTGTCAATGATAATGTCATATAAATGAGGGCTATTTCTTTCTTTTATTTTGGTGGAAAGTGTAGGGTTGCATTTGATTATATAACTTTTTTTAAAAATTTCCCATTCATTCCTAATATCCATTGAAATCATGCATCATTGATTGCCGTGTTGAGAAAAGAAAATACATTAGCATGGCAATTAAATATATATCTATATCTAATGATGATTATGTATTACATGATTGCCCATCAATGTTAACTTTGCAATGACTTTCCATAATGCTTTCAATTAGCAATAAAGCATTATACATTCATCTTTTTTTATGTTTCATTTGACGCAAGTAAGTGAATTTTGAGGAAGATATATTCTTTTTTACTATTACATAAATAAAGCAGCTGAATAAAAAAAAACTGTCAAAGTAGAATTCAAGTCATGTGACAAATCTTTATGTGCATGATTGAATGAAGAATCTGTTATTGCTCTTTATCGGAAAAGCCTTGTGCATAATATGCATTTGTATCACTCAATTCAATCAGTAAACGTTCAATCAGTATAACAACGATATCAGCGATAACATTGAACTGAAAATGCAACAAGACGAATATTTTGACATTTATAGCATTTGTGATTAATTTTATTGTGTTTTTCATCGGTTGTTTGAGTGTAATATGTTTTTAAAAACCAAATTAATTCAAGTGTTATTGAGGGGACGAATAAGCAAATAGATAGATAGATAGATAGTTATAGTTAGTTATACATGTACATAAATAATACATGTACATAAATAATACATGTACATAAATAATACATGTACATAAATACATAAATGAAATCATTTCGTTGACATGGTTGAATTTATCGGGGCAATAGCAAACAGGGAATGGGTTATCAGGGGCGTACATGATTTTAGCTTAATAACGGGGAGAGGGTGCAATGACTTTTTTTATAGGGCAGAGGGGCCGTCAACCGGGTTGGCATGCAGAAAACGTAGAAGAAAGACAGAGAAAGAAAAGAGAAAGAAGTAAAATGATGGTAAGTAAGAACAATAGGCCTATATTTGCCAGCATTCACATTAGAAATGGCTGACGGTTACCACTGCCTCTTTGTCAAAACAACTAGTTGTATGAATATAAAGGCAATGTCCAAATCGCTCAAAATATGTTTTTCTGAAGTGAATGTGCACATTTAGGAAGGGGAATATGAAGGCAAGAAGGAGGATGAGAATAATGAAGGCCAAGGAGGAAGAGATGGGGGCAGAGGAGGAGAATATGAAGGCAGAGAAAGAGGAGGAGATAAGGAAGAGGAGGAGGAGGAGGAGATGAAGACAGAGAAGGAGATGAAGGCAGAGAAGGAGGCAGATGATGAGGAGGAAATAGAGGAAATTATTGAATAGTGGATGAAAGCAGATGAGGAGGAGGAGATGAAGGCAGAGAAGGAGGAGGAGGAGATGAAGGCAGAGAAGGAGGAGGAGGAGATGAAGACAGAGAAGGAGGAGAAGGAGATGAAGGCAGAGAAGGAGGAGAAGGAGGCAGAGAAGGAGGAGGAGGACATGAAGGCAGAGAAGGAGGAGGAGGAGGTAGATGAGGAGGAGGGAATAGAGGAAATTATTGAATAGGGGATGAAATCAGATGAGGAGGAGGAGGAGATGAAGACAGAGAAGGAGGAGAAGCAGGCAGATGAGGAGGAGGAAATAGAGGAAATGAATGAATAGGGGATGAAATCAGATGAGGAGGAGGAGGAGATGAAGACAGAGAAGGAGGAGAAGCAGGTAGATGAGGAGGAGGAAATAGAGGAAATGAATGAATAGGGGATGAAATCAGATGAGGAGGAGGAGGAGATGAAGGCAGAGAAGGAGGAGGAGGACATGAAGACAGAGAAGGAGGAGAAGGAGGCAGATGAGGAGGAGGAAATAGAGGAAATGAATGAATAGGGGATGAAAGCAGATGAGGAGGAGGAGGAGATGAAGGCAGAGAAGGAGGAGAAGCAGGTAGATGAGGAGGAGGAAATAGAGGAAACGAATGAATAGGGGGTGAAAGCAGATGAGGAGGAAATGAAGGCCTGGGACGAGCAGGAGGATCGAGGAGATGAAGGCCGGGCACGAGCTGGGGGGAGATAAGGGATGGGGTAGAGATGAAGGCAAGGATGGAGGACGACATGAATGCAGAGGAGGAGTCGAGTATAGGAGGATATAAAGGTAGAGAACGATGAAGGAGAAGTAAAGGCACTTAAGGAGACAATATTGGGGGAGGAGGAGGAGTAGGAGGAGTAGGAGGAGGAGGAGAAGGAAAATGGAGAAGAAGAAGAAGAAGAAGAAGAGAAGAAGAAGAAGAAGAAGAAGAAGAAGAAGAAGAAGAAGAAGAAGAAGAAGAAGAGGAGGAAGAGAGGGAGGCGCCAAAGGCGAAGAAGGAAAACATCCTGGAGGAAACAAAGGTGGAGGAGACGGCGGGGAAAGAGTCAGAAATGACCGAGGAATTAAGGGAATTCGCTGAAAACTAATGAATGGAGATGTGGACGGAGAAGATGGATGAGGGACAGAAGCGATTGGCGGAGGTTGAAACGTTCAACACAAATGAAGTAAAAAGAGGTATTGGAGGGGGTTCAGGTAGTACAAGACTCTGTAGGTCGAGGAAGACGAACGATGAAGATGGGAGGGAGGGAAATGTTAAAGATAACAAGGATCAAGCGGTAGTACCTGTACGAAGAAGAAGAAGAAGAAGAAGAAGAAGAAGAAGAAGAAGAAGAAGAAGAAGAAGAAGACAGAAGTGGTGGAAATATGTATACTGCTTTGGTTGGAGGAGGCACAGCAAACGCGCTTAAATCTTACTGTACTGGGGGGGGGGGGGGCTCGACATTTTCGGAGATTGCGCCGCAACCGCTTGGAATTTTGAATTGTCGTTTCATTACCTTTTCCCCTCAAGTCTTACGCACATTTTGATACCATTTTCTTCGAAATCGGATATACCTGTAAGGTGTTACATAATAATTAGTATGCGCATGTCATCAAAAATATGCTATAATTGCAGATATTCATGTACAAGCAGAAATGTGAATACAGGTTTAGATGTATTTCTTCCTAAGTGTGAGATATGAATTGATATCAAATTGCTTTTATATGTTTCTCAAAGTAAATTGATGTATTCCAGAACAAAAGAATGCATTAGAAATAAAACAATAGACTTAATAAGAATTAAAAAACAATAAAATACAAAAGAAAATAATAATTTGAAAATCGGCGCATCAAATTTGCATAAATTATCATTATTAATAACATCCCAATAATCATTTTGTGTTAGAAAAGAAGTTTCATATTTACATTAAAAAAGTGGAGTCTGACAATTTTTGTAATAATTCTAGTTTCCTGTATATTTAAAGAGTTGATATTCATGAATGCGTATTCATAATTTATGCAAATTAACCTATGAATTTTCAAATATCATAAAAATAATGTAACCTCGTGAATTTGAGATGAAGGAAACATTTATTCACTACATTTTCAACATTCTTCACAAGTCTACAGACATATATTTAGAGTTTTCTGTAAAATGGATAAAATTAGCATTTTGCATAATTAATTATGCTCTAACGACAAAAATTTGCATATGAGGAAAAGACTAATAATACCATCTTGTTCCTTACGTAAATATCTACAAACATGCAAATGTTCGTGTTCATCGGACTTTCGACGGCCGAGATCATAGGGGGGGGGGGGCTCACAGCCCCCCCCCCCCCCAGTCATGAGGTGCTCAAAATAGCCCAGTTTTAAAAGATCGTAAATAAAACTGTTAATAAAATTGTAAATATATGTATCAAGACAGGATTGAGGACTGCTGGGTATAATTTGATTCACATCGGAAAACAGGGAGTGGGAGAATCATGCAAATACAGAGGGAGGGAGAAAGGGAGGGAGAAAGAGAGAGAGAGAGATAGAGAGAGAGGGGGAGGTGAGATACAAATACACCGGGAGATAAAGAATGAGAGAGAGTAAATATAGATCAAGAGAGGGAAATAGGAAAAGAGAGAGATAGACAAATGGGGGAAAAGGCAAAGAATTGCTTGTTTTTACTGGATCTTGGAACACTAATTTTGTTATACTTAATTATCTTCAAATTGATCACCATGTTTAACGGTCCGGTAAAGTACACTGGCTGATTAACTTAAGTTCAAGCAAATTATGTCTGAATCTTACAAAATACTGAAGTACTCATACTCGAGCCAG